CCAGAAGACGAAAATCCAGACCAATTCTGTTGTGCTATAAAGGAGATAACTCACTGGTAGGGCTCTTGTTTTATTGAAGGCAATACACAAGCTCTTTATTATCCATTTTAGCCTTTCTGATGGTAACTCCTTTCCAAATGACCTGACACAGTCCTCAAAGTGATATCGGAGGGGTAGCTCCTCATCCACCACCGAAATGAAGCTGTTGCTGTCCTACAGAAGGAATAAAACAAAACTATTTTGCTCTAGCAGATGACATAGAAGAGAGTCCTTTGGAGATCGTCACCATGAGAGTCTATTCTAGTGGAACACTTAAATTTATTAATACCATTAAAGACTGCTAAGATGATTTAAAGATTTATTTTTTTTTAAAGGATGGATGTAATTTCCCTAGCTTGTGCTAAAATCTGCTCCCAAGCGTTGCTCTCAAGGGGAATTGTATGTTGTCCAAGAAGTGGAATACATCTTCCTGACGGTTTCTTTTAACGGGATTGAATCTACTGGCCATTGGGTGCGTTAGAAACCCAAGGATATTTGCAAAATGAGACTCAAGGCACCTCTCTTTTTCTGGAAGATGGTGTAATGCATTGCTTGAGGGTAATTTCTGCACAGAAGAGGCCAAATATCTTTTGGGTTGAGGTTAGAGAAAAACAGCACTGTCTCTGGCTGTGATGTTGGCAGCACTTTTCCCTCTCGGTTTCCTGGAATCCAATAGCCCCGGCGTGCAGAGTTTATCCTTCAATTTGACATTTGTCCTATCGACAGATTACCTTTTCCTGGCAATAAGCGAGTGTTACCAGGTCTTGGAGCTGATACTGGTACTATTGATTCCCGAGCGCGATGTTTTTGCAAACCCAGACAGGAGTAAATTAGGCTGATCTTCGCTTGCTTCTCGAGATAATTTGGAATGACTGCCCCTTGGAGGGTTGCTCAGCACCAGTGGCAGTGACATGACAACCAGGGCATGGATGTAATCCTCTTGAAGACCTTTTCTCTTTCCGAAGGGCAATTCCTGCAGGAGTTACTCTGCTTTCAACCTCATCTAGACCACCGCCTCACTTCTCAACAACCCTTATATATATATATATTTTTTCCCAATAATTTACAGGAATTCCTCTTGGTACAACCCCCTTTTTGTCCCCGTACTACAGGGTATTGTCAGACCCCATCTGTTTGGACAAGATATCTTTGTTTCCACTTTGTCTACGGGGAGCCTACAGCTGTTTCTCATGAAGGATCCCTTCCTACTGGCTCAGCCATCTCAAGGGTAGCTTCCTGTAGGCCTACAGTTGAAACCAGCTTAGTAATGGAAATAAAAAAATAAAATAAAATAAAATAAAAAAGCAGAAGGTGGCGGTTTTCTTCTTAAGCAAGCTCTGGCACCATAAGGATGTTATTCCACTATATTCATGGGTTCATCCTGATGCTCAAGCGGAGTGAAAGGGAGCAGATCGAAATGAATTGCTACTTCCCTTCGTGCCTCCCTCTCTGTATGGATCACGAAAGACGCTGACAAAGGTGTTGGGAGAAGATTATTGAACATCTAAGTAACCTTTATTGTTTTTTTATCGGCTCCATTAAATTAGAAGGACTTCAGCTGTTGTTCAGCGCAAGGCAGCAGCTTCTAAGTGGTGTGATGGGATGAGCAACGTCTTCACGACTGATCAGGAGACTCTGCCTGAGCTTCAGCTCTCCCAGGATACTAATCTGCAGAGCACTCTGCCGGTCCCTTGTGTCAGGTAATTGTTATAACGGGGAATGAGCAGAACCGAGAATGAATTTTTATTTGAGAGATAAAGGAGCCGATCTGGAAAAGCAGCCGAGTGCACTGCCCTCTTCACAACACCGTAGTTCAAGGCATGGTGTGTTCCTGGCAAAGAGTTCACGTCTGGTTATCAAACGTTCACTTTATATTTATAGTTTAAAGAGAAAATTAAATTCCACGGGAAAACATTTGTCAAAAGACCCCGTGTCATGGATGCAGAGATGTCGCAATTTTCTCTTCTTTAAGAAGAAAATAACGGCGGCATCTTCAGCAGGTTGCTAGTCGTTGATTATGTTCTTTCCACTAGCAACATCCATCAGAAGAAATTGATTTTGTTCACGCTTAGTTTGGGCTTCTTTTGCCTTTTTCTTTTTAAAGTTGAACTGCACAACGCAGCTTTATTTGCAGAGCATGTTCCGCACCAACATTGACATGATGGATCCTTTCCTGATGCTCTGATTAAAGCTGAATTCTTCGCTCTGTTCCTTCAAAGGCAAGAAGAGATTTCATGTGCTAGGAAAAAAAAAAAAAAAAAGCATATAATTCTCTCCTTCTCCTGCTCCAGAATAGCTAATACAAATGGTAGTAGCATTGTTACTCGGTTGCATTCCCCACTGCAATGAATAAGAACCAGTTGAGAACAAAATGCGAATTTATTCTGAGATTCGTGCAATTATCATCTCTAGAGCCCTTCTCTGTCATCGTTTCTTTGGCGTTGTAGCTGCCAGGAGTGCCAGCAGCCTTTCTGTTCCATTAGCTGCTGCTCTTGTTAGTAGGTTTATACTCAAAACCTTTCCTCATTTGAACTCCCATTCCAGTCAGGGGCACTTTTCCAGAGAGCATCAGAATGACCCCGTAAGTATGACAAATATATAATGCTGTTCAAAAAGCAACTTTCTATGTGATAATACTAATGCTTTTTCACTTTTTTTGGGGTTGTATTGGATTAAACAACAAACTCTAATGCTGTGTTCAAACCCTGTGCCATAGCAAATTGCCTTTTTTTCCCTCTTCTCTAAGAAGAGACTCGTGCAATTATTTATTGCTCCAGTTAGCAGCAGCTCAAATTAGCCACCTGAATTTTTCATGTTTTTTAACAGAAAGCCGCAGATTGCATCCTCGTCCCAATCTGAGCTCGTTTTTGCAGATGTAACCTTAGCCAACCCGGTTATAAACATATATCAAATGTCAGTCTGTTCCACTGATAACGTTTGATGGACTATTTATTGTGCTGTTCAGGTAATTGTAATGAAGGATGTGCTATAGGGTCTTTATTTTAAAATTTTCCAGGAATTTATCACAGTTTTCCACCCAGTTTGTCAATTTGCGTGAGTACATCTTTCATCATCAAATTAGCCATAAGTCACTCCTTTTGCTTCTTCATTATCGGGAATTCACGGCGTCTTTTGATTAAACGTGACAGTTACATGTTTGGGGGGTTTTGACAGTAATTTCTCGAATCAGGTTTCACGAGCAATTTTTCACACTGAAACCATCGATGTTCAAGGTGACACGCGTTTCCGACTAATGGCTCATTATTTAAAATTTAAGCCAAATGAAGTCCAGATGTCTGTGCTCTCAACATAATCAGTGGAGATGTATACCAACCCGTAGAGGCTGATTCATCCGATCTTACTGAAATTCTTCTCTTAGCATTGTCCTTCAGAGGTGCTTGCCTCTTTGATTCCTATAGGACCAGCCCTAACGTGTCGAACTTGGAGAAAGCTGCAAAAAATAAGATTAATTCCATTGTCTGTTGTCATATGTGCTCTTCAGAGAGCTGACGGCTTCCATAAAATTGGTATGAAAATAGGAAATGGATAGGACCGTGGTGAGGCACGTTTATTATAAAGGTTACCAAGTATTTAGAAAAAAATCTACGGTGCAAAATTTTCCTTGCTGTAGCAAATGCCAGCAAATACCTGGTACATCTCCAACTCCTAAAGCTTCATCTTTTGGCGTCCTTCCCTACATTCACCGAAGTATACGATAGTGAATGGTCCATACTAACCACTTGTGTGACTCTGCCCAGAGGCTTTTAAAACTCCTAAATAGGCACAGAAGTTGGGTCAGGGGCAAAAGGAAGACTGGTATTGACCACATCTGTCTAGACTGACCATATGAAATGCTTTTTCTTACGCAGAAACAACCGAATGTGATGTTATTAAACGCTCAGCAAATAATCTCGGCGTGTTGCAATAAATAAATCTTCATGCAGAGCCCGCAGAGTTGCACCACTTAAATCAGAAATTAAAAGCAGGATGCTAATACGGAGTGGAAACCGTATGAAAATATATATATACTCCGTCTCCGTGAATGCAAAATAATTTCCTCGTGACTAATGATATTGCAGGGAACCCGAACTGAATTCATACCCATACGATACTTAGCGCGAGGATTTATTAATGCACCCGTCATTTGTTTGGCATTTTGTAAAGTTTAGCTCTTTCCTGACAGAAGCAACGAAGCCGCCTGAATATTAAGTGAGTATGTCACTGTTTCTGCTGGCCATTAAATTAAGTACAAAATACGTGGGTGGGAAAGACATTAGTAACAATATGCAGTAAGTGCTTAAAGATTATTTACTCATTTCAGGTGCGCTGTAATAATATTAATCACGCTGGGCTCGTTTGGCGTTAATGCAGATGAAATATGTAATTCTGCAGCAGGGCTTTTGCAATGTCACATTAATAAATGCCTCCTCACGTAACAAATATTTCTTCTTTTCCAGTAAAGGACTCGGTGAAGGCAGGTGCCCTGTTTGGCAGGTGTTGGAGAGCCCGATGTATTCGGGCTGATATCTTCCGTAATTGTCTTTTGCACCGCTAGAATTAACTTCTCTAGGAAAAAAAATAGAAAGAGGGATGAAGCAATTTGCATGGAAAAAGGAAAAGAGATAGCCTTGTTTTCCTTAGGAAATTGTATCCAGAAGCAACGTGGACCTGAGCTGCTCATTTCACAGCGCGCCCCAAAATTGATCCGTGTGTTAAACCCCTCCCGTCCACAGCATAGGCTGGGGGGTTCCCGGTAAGATAAAAAGTGGTAAAATGGCAATTTCTGAGCTGTTTCTGACCGGCACGCTCACTGCGGGTCCCATCTTTCTCTCGCACAGACGTTGGCTTAACTTTGTTGTCTTTTTTTTCTTCTTTTTCAGGAAAGCGCTCGTCCGTCCTGCCTGCCAGGCCTGACTTTAACAGCGTGTGTTTTGTTTTGCTTTATCTGTTTTCTCCTGCAGAGCCGAGCTCCCACTACTGTGATCTCCTTGAAGGCCTTCAACAACGCCGGCGAAGGAGTGCCTCTGTACGAAAGTGCCACCACCAGGTCGATGACAGGTGAGTCGGGAAATTTGCTCCGCAGCAAATTCCGCAATAGGCAAAACGATTTGGGGCAAGGCAAGGGGAAAAAAAGAGCTCTGCGACCTCCAAATCCCTGCTAGAATAAATCAGCTTCGTTTTCTTCTTTATCGTAATGACACGGACAGAATGAATTATTTACCCTTCCCAGAAATTGGCTCTGTGTTTTTAATGGGATGCTCACAAGTGCTTGCTCTTTGGTACGGTTTGGCCTGGGAGAAGCATGACTCCCAAAGCTTTTGGAAACGGAGAGAGAGGGGTTGCTGTGCTGAATTCAGCCCGGATGGAATTATTTTTGTTTCCTTCCTCCTTAAAGTAGTTCAAGTGAAAATGAATTAGTTAAAAGATAACACAAAACAAGCACATTCATATCATGCACATTTACAGAAGCAAAGGGGTTAGAAAAGGTGAAGATGCTGATTTACAGGACAGGACAAGGCGCACAGAAGGATTTTCCCAGCAGTAGCTGAGCTGAGTGCTTTTAGGAAGCTCTATTCACGATTACGATGTTGGGACAATAACAAAATTACAGGAGCAGAACTGCTTTGTACAACTTCTGGACTGCCTCGTGGGTTTTATCCACAGGGAAAAAAAAATAATAATAATAATTAAAAGAACAGAATCGAGGAAAAAAAAAAAAAAGTGTTTTTCCTCTGGATTGACACCGTCATTTGGTGTTTTTTTTTTTTTCTCGTGGCCCACCCGCGGTGTTCAGAGCTGCCTGGAAGGGGAGCAGTGTCACTGAGAGCAACCCGGTCACTGACGCTGGCGTGGGTGTGCCGCGAGGAAGAAAGAACCCAAATGGCTGCTCGGTGGCTCTGCAAGGAAAAACGGCTTCCAGCAGGCAGTTTTGTGAAGTATTCCCATAAGAAATCTTGGAAAGTCAGCAGAAAAAAAAAATAAAAAAAAAAATCATTATAAAATCGAGGGTAACCATAAAAATGGCTTTGATATAGTAAGTGTCAGGGAGCTTCTGGCTCAAAATTATTAATTTCGCTTCTTGTCTGGAATCTACAGAGGTCATTCTTGCTGAGCATGCCAACAACACGTGTCTGGTAACATCTTCTTTCCACTGAGTTTGCCTCGGGGTCCACAGAGACTTTAATTTTTAAGTTTTCTCGTTCCTTGTCTGACTCCATTTACAAACGACCCATCCGGCTGGTGGGGTTTGATTTCATGCGTGTGCGTAACCTCTTGTAAATTCAAGGATATCCAGGTGTAAAAAAGGTAATTCAGGCTTGGGTTATCTGCGATGATCCTCTTTGAGGAGCTTCTCTCATCACTGGGCACATCTCATACCTGAGCCTCCTGCTGGGCAGATAAAACCCTTGGGAACCTGGGCGACTTGTGGACGAGCATCTTCAAAAGTTTTGCTTCCAGCAAAGCAGGAAAGCACAGGAGGGTGCAAGCAAGAACCAAGACCCATGTGTTTGCGTGGCCACTTACCATGCGTGCACGTACCTCGGGGTCTGCCCGACTTACGTAACGTGTAATATTCACAAATCAAATCTCCAAAGAGAGGGAGAAACTATTTTCCGTCCGGAGATTGCAATTTCCAAACGCCAGATGTCCGTGCGTAAATACAAGCGAATGAAACTTCGGTGGAAAACGGGGGAAGTATTTAGGGACCTATTTTCAGCCCCCAGTGGATTACAGATATTTCCCTCCTCCTCAGGTCAGTGATGACATGTTTCAACAACCAAATTATTTTGATTGAGTCTGACCATTTATTTTGCTAAAGCCAGCCTCTTTTCATAATCTCCCCTACAACAGCCCTTAAGTTTTCAGAATTGAGTGGAGAAAGGAAGTGCAGGATTTGCTAAAATAGGAACTCGGCACCAGTCACATCATGAAAAAAAAAAAATAACACAACATGGGAACAAAAACTGCTCACCTTACAAAATTTGCCTTTGGAAAACTTCAAGTCAGACAAAGAAACTGTTCGCTTTCAGCCTTAGAGAAGCTCAATTCGCTGAGACTGGACAAAAAAAATAAAATAAAATTTAAAAAAAGGTTCAGCTGCCCATTTCTGCCCTCGTGGAGCTTGGGGTTTGGATCACACAACACCAGATTGTTTCGTTTCCTTCAGCACCTTCTTCTTATCAAGAAGCTTTTGATGAAAGAAGCTACAAAAGCAGCAGGTTGAACTAATGGCTTATCATACATTTTAAACATCCTTGTCTCCTCTGTTTTTCCTTCCAAAGGCTGTGGCATCCCGAAGTTGTGAATAATAAATCACAAAATCATAAAACACAAGTGATCAAAGGGTGGCAGGAGCTGGAAATGCACATGGAGCAGACAAACTGTAGCAATTGTCAGGGAGGAAATACTAAGAGTCACTTATACTTTGATTAATTAATTAGCACATTATTTTTAGGGGGAAAAAAAAATACAGCCTCTTTTTTTTTTTGTGTGTGCTGTGTTTTACCCACTGCCGTTTGAAATGATATTTAGGAAAATCACGGCTGTTAAATAATGAAGCATACAGGTGAAAAAGAAAGGCCTGAAGATGTCCACAGGTGCTTAAACCTGGCACTTGGACAAGGATGGACATGTTTAGGGTGAGGAGGGATGGTCTGTAGCTCCCGTGGGAGCCCCAAAAGGAAGGGATGTTGGCATTTTTACAGCAGTATTAAACCAACAACTCCAAGATCTTCGCTTCAGCAGTGGAATTAGGATGTTCCGTTTTGCCTAACATTGAACCAACGTAGACCACGTTCCCTTGCAGAACCTAACACAACAAAAGAGCCTGAAAGAGGCAGCCAAGGAGGAAAAACGTAGGTAGCTCCTACGCACGCGAGATGAAGTCGTGTCTATAAATCAGGTTTGTAGACGACACTCCGCTTTGGAGGTGTTTCCAAGAATCTATCGTAACATGATTCAGTTTTTTAAGAAAAATGTAAATCAGTGGGCAAAAAGAGGCTGCTCGTTGTCTTAATCTCATGCGAAGAAAACACAGTGTGCGTGGAATTACTTAAACAAATGGTGAAAAATTGCTGTTACCGCTGGGTTTGGTGAGAGTCATGTAACTGAAACGTTGCTGCTGCGTTTTCATTTTGCTTTAATGCTTCTCTTTCTGTTCTCCTCATGTCCCTCCTCCTCATTAATGCCATGCATTTAACCCATCGTGCTGTGTGCCCCTTGCTGGCTTGTTCGTGTTTGGTTTCACTTTATTTTATTTATTTCATTTTATTTTCCGTTTAACTTACCTATCCATTTATTTTGGAATGCTCATTTGGTGCTGTATGGACCCAGACCCCATCGATCCATTAGAAGTTGATTTTTATCCTTTGCTTGATGATTTCCCCACGTCAGTCCCAGATATCTCCACCCCCATGCTCCCACCAGTAGGTGTGCAGGCTGTTGCGCTGACCCACGACGCGGTGAGGGTCATCTGGGCAGACAACTCTGTCCCGAAGAACCAAAAGACGACGGAGGTCCGCTTCTACACGGTCCGATGGAGAACCAGCTACTCTACAAATGCTAAATACAAGGTGAAGTTTTAGCACGTTACCAATTCGGGAACCGTTTCATCCGTTCGCATTTTATTTGCAGAGACTCGGAATTGGTTTTTTTTTTACGAGCTTTCCTCAACCAAGATTCCCCTTTCAATCAAAAGGAGATTTGCATGAGTAACTACTGCTTGCTCAAAACCCGCGGATTTAGGTGGATGAAAATAGCATATATTAATTCGACGTGCTAATTGATGAGAGTTGTGATCTTGAATCTTTACCGACCAGGTATAAATTAGCCGTAGGTGTGATAGCACGGTAGAGTAGCGTGAATATAAAAAAATATAAAAAAAAATACCAATTGCGACACCTCCCACCCTGTATGGCAATTCCACCCCATATCCCCAAACATCAAAACTGGAGATTTCTTTACAGGAAAACTTCTCAGTCTGAACGGATACGGCGGCAGCAGAGGTGTGCTACTTTCTGTACGAGGATTTATTTCCCGGTCCTAATGAAAACACTACCAAAAGAGGTGCGGTTTAGCAAAGAGAAACAGAGACACCGGGAATGGAAAGCAAGAAGCACAGACTTTAGGTTGTTCTGTTTGCTCGCTTTTCCTTTCCACACACTATTGTCAGCTTATATATTGCACCTCGTATAACATCCACCTTCCCCATAATAAGCGTGTCCTTCGTCCCATACCCTACTATAATGGTTATCTCCTCTTGCTTAGAGGATCATATTGATCCATAGCGAGTTTGCTATGAATATATTTTCATACTGCAAGTGGATGCCCCATTTTTTACTGCTGTGTCCTACCAAAATCAACCTCACGTAAGTTGTTTTTATTAGGCCTGTAGAACGGGTGATGTTCTGTACAGCCTCCGATTATTGCCTGAATTATTTGTCCAAATGCAGGCTGGCTTTTCCAAAATCCCAAGGATGGCTCTGTGCATTGGTTCAGGGTACGCACACAACTCGTGGACTCCAATCTCAAGATCTTTCTTGGATAACTTTTAGAAAAAGTAGGAATGATAATTAAAAAAAAAAAAAAAAAAAAAAAAAAGGCCATACCTTCAATCCCTTTTAATGATGAGACCCGCTTATAACCATCATTTTATAGGCTCATGTGGTCGTAACAAGCTCTTTTGTAATTCAAGATGCCAAAACGATGCATTTTCCCTCATTTCACAATGCATGTGCTCAGCTGTGGGAAATGATGGGTGCCAAAAAAAACCCTTGGCCCAGAGTTGTCCAAGCTTTCTTCTAAACCACGGGGGTGGCTGAAGAGGAGAGGAGCAAAAATGAAGATTTGGCCAGTCTGAACATTACAAATTTAGGGCCAGGCCAACTTCCTTTTTCCAGTTCAATCACCCCCAAGCATAAACAATAAAAAGTCTTGCAGAAGGTCTGCTCGCTGAGAAATAGTCACGTTTTTCAAGGAAACGAGATAAAGCCCATTATGTTCTTTGAAAACAGTGGGGAAACCTTCCATTTTTTTTCAAAGGGCTTCAGATCAGGCTCACAAAAAGATCCCATTTGCCGATGTGTTGGTACTGAATATGCAATTCTTTTCAAATTTGCCCATTAAAAGCTTCCGTCGCTTCAAAAATGTGTACCAAATGTAGTGTAAAGAAGGTTTTAACCTTTTCCATTGAAATTTATAAATGTTAACTTTGCCCCGCCAACTTTACTTTGTACAAACCATCCCAAAAAGGCAGAGCATGGAATTGCTAAGGCACTTTTTCCAGTTATGCTGCCTTCATCTCAATATGATATTAAGTTCAGAGGAGTACCGAAACGCTAATAGTTAGCACCGAGTGAAATATCCAAAGAAAAACTCTCAGCTGGAGACAAATAACTTGCTTTTCCCAAAAAAAGAACCCAACATGGCTGTGTTCCAGGAAAGATTATTTTGTCCAGCAATGGGTACAACTCCTACAGTTTTCTCTGTGTGATTTTTTTTTCCTGGTCGTGTTTATTGTCAGAGCACTTTTATAGTGTTATCAGAATTAGTTACCCTCAGTGATGCTGAACAGCATTTTATGTCATAAATCGTTTCTTCCAAAATCTTCCCTGGAGGGGGGAAATTATTCTTCCCTTTATTGCAATCCAGCTTTCAGTTGAAGAATAATTTTTGTAAACTCTAGCAGCTCGATTTTGCCATCTTTGGCAAGTAGCTGAGTAGTTTGGCTAAGTAGTTTTTGATTGTATGAGGACAGTCTTTGCTTCAGCAGGTCTTATAGAAGGGGATTCTCTGCTGGATTAAGCCCTTCCCACGAAGAAGTTGCAAAACTGCTGATTTCCAAGGACTGGGGATTTTAATTGAGTATGAGGATGATAAAATCTGGTATTGCAATTAGTCTTCCTATTAAATAGCACGCAAAACATCTGGCAGAGCACATGTGCTAAACCAGCCTGCCATGCAGGCAGACGTAGGGCATTCCTCAATGTACATTTTTCCCACTTTCCCCTTAAATATTAGTACTTTATTTTGCAGCATCCCAGAAACTCGCTGCAGCATCGTTAGCGAAGGTCAATTTATTTTGGAAACATCCGATTTGGCGATTAGCAGCAGAATGCCGTAGCTGAGGTCTGCCAGCAAGATCAGCTGCTGCTCAGATGTCAACAGCAAGGTGGTTTTCTGATGCAAAGGCATTCCTAGGTTGTCTTAATCAGTAAATTTGAGGTCCATAGGTGTATAAACATCTAAAAACATGCACCTGTAACTCGCTGTACTGTAAATTGTTGACGCTCGAGGACTGCACACCAGGCTCTGGAGCTTGAAAGAGGTGGGAATTGATTTTCTTCACTTGCCACCGTACGTCCTATAATATTCTCCTCACTTGTCTCCTTTGATAGCGGTGCAGTTTGGCTCAAATTGGTCCTTACTGCACGCTGAGGGGAAAAAGCTAAATCGATCAGGTAGAAATGAACAATATAATATTCACATCGACATCAACGTTTAGTTGTTCAGAACATATCACAGTGAGGCAGGCCAGTCATATCATTCAAATATAACCTAATGCATGAAAATACTGCATCTAACCAAACAAAAGTGGGTTTTATGAACGTAAAAATTAATCTTTATGCAAGGGTCCTCTTGATATTATAAATATGCGTTCCCCACGGTACCTGGGAACCCATAGTCAGGTCCATTCAAGTGGTAAAAACGCTCTCTGAGCCTCCACTACAAATCAGTAGATATTAACAAACTTTTTTTTCCTCTTTCTTTTTTGGAAGGAACACATCAAAGAGGCTGGAAATGAACGATTAAGTCGTGGAAATGTTCCTATTTTTTTCCTCATATGGGCATAGATGAAGGACACTGCGTTAGCTTTCAATTTGCATTTGAAAAAAAAAAAAAAGCATTGCAAATTGCTTTGTCTGGGAAAAGAAAGAGAGGAAGCATCACAATAATTTATTTAACTGCTTAAATTATAGGCAGAAAGTTTAGTATCATATTTATGGTCCTAAAAATACTCCCATTAAGGTATGCAGTAGCAACAGAGCTATTTTGCTCGGAAAAAAAAAAAAAAAAAGTCCATTGTAATTCGTGTTTTGCTTAGCTACCAGCAATGAGAGTTGCTTTAAAGACGTCGTTTGCTCCGTCTCTTTGCAGTCAGCAGATACGACAGCCCTGAGTCACACCGTCATCGGCCTGAAGCCTAACACCATGTACGAATTCTCGGTCATGGTCACCAAAGGGCGGAGGTCCAGCACCTGGAGCATGACTGCCCACGCCACCACCTACGAAGCAGGTACGGCAGGAGCTACTGAAATGGGTTTCAATTTTTTTTCCTTTCATTTATACGCCCTCAAAAGCCCTGTCCAAGTTCAGTGTACCTACAAAATTCACTGCGTTTCTTCATTTTTTTTTTCATGGGTAGCAAAGCAGAGCAGTCATTCCACTGAGTGACTCGGTGTCATTGCAAGAAGTTCAGATGATAGTACCCGTGTCTAATATTTTGCCCCATAATACAAAGATTATCGGCGACTTTTATGATTTAAAACACTTCCCACTTTTCAAAGAAACCTAAGATCAGGTGAGAACAAGTTTGGAACACTCTGTTATTACTAGATAATTAAAATTTGAAAATTAAAATTTTCATTTAGGAAGTTCTTTGTGACTTTGTCTCAAGTTTACGAGTTCCCACCTTGTCCTTTTAGTAAAAAGGGATAAAAAACAGCTTCTATCTAACACAGGACCTTCTTGATTCAAGAGCTAAATGGCTGTGTTATAACTAAGCAACCAGAGGTCCATTCAGAAAGCAATTTTTTCCTTAGGTTGAGTAGTGGTCTTCAACACACTCTAAATAAAACCGATATAAACCAGCTTCTACCAGCAGCCACCAAATGAAGTCTGCTGGTAAATATTGATCTGGCTTTTGGTTTTTGTTGCTTTTTGTGTGTGTGTGTGTGTGTTTTTTAATGAAAACCACAGTGCACGCCACTTAATTAACAAAGGGAAAATCAGAGGGAATATATGTGTCCTTAGATTTTCCCATGTGATCGCAATGCAATTATCTGAGCTTGATGGAGCGGCTCTGTTAATTAAGGGCATCCTGCACTGCTGATCTTTATTGCCTATTTTGTACCCATGCCGCATGTTGAATTTCCCGTAATGATATTAAAGAATGTACATATCAGCATCGATACAGAAGCCACTAGAGATTACTACCACAGGCTAGAGAGAATTGCTATGCCCATAATTCAAAGGCAACTCTCGGAGCCAAGATCCATCCCCAGCTCTGCCTACACAAGTCTTGCTGATGCGAGGGGTGTTAATGAGTGCTAAGGGAAACATCTAAAGCTTTGATTTTTCTCATGATATCTTCTGTTCACAATCTGCTGAAAGCAGAGCTCAGCTTCAGCCACTCAAAGGGACTCACGTGGCGAAAACCAGAATGGAAAACCTATGCTATGGGAGGAGGCTTTAAGAACAAGCTTTACTAGTTTAACCTCCTAAATGACAAAAAGCCTGAAAAGGGAAAGAATTAGTCCATGAAAGCATGTCAAGGAAGTTATATCAGAGAAAGGAAAACAGTATTTAAGAGAAAGACGTTGTTTCCACACAGGTTGATGGATGCATTTAGGGAGAAATAGAATCGTTTAGATGGAGAATATTGCAGAACAAACATAGCAAAAGTAAAAAGAAGGAAAATTTTGCTTTGAAAATCAAATGAGGCTAGTTTACAGAAAAGGTTGTCTCTTGCAAATTCCCTGGCATAGCGAGGTGGTCCAAGATGTTTCTTCTAGTCCTCTGTTTTTAAATTGCAGACCCTGTGTCCCTGTCTGCAAGCCAAATTCCCTTTAAATACAACACAACCCTCCTAGAACATAATAGTATTAATGATAGAAATCATAATATTAATAATAAATAATATTAGCAATAATAATAATAGTGACAATAATAATGCAGGCTTCTTTAGTGATGAGGGAGCTTGCATCATGCTGGGCATTGCATCGGTTTAAAAGACTTCTCTAAGAGCTGTGATCTAGATCTAAGATCTGTGGCTTGTCTACTTCATGGGGAGAAAGACTCTTCCAGCAAACAACAGGTGAGCAGTCACCTGCTTAATAATTTATCAATGACAACAATTTTATTTTTCCAATGGATGCATTTCTTGGTTGTTTTTGGATCCCGTTCTTGAAAAATTCGACCGATGCAAACGTTGTGAGACCACCTGCTCGGTGTTCATTATTTTCATTCCGTTGCTTTCAATTTTTTTTCATTCTTTTCAGCTCCGACCTCTGCACCCAAGGACTTGACAGTCATTACACGGGAAGGGAAGCCCCGAGCCGTCATTGTCAGCTGGCAGCCACCATTAGAAGCCAATGGGAAAATTACCGGTACACATTTGCATTACCCTCTACTCTCCTTTCCCTTTTACTGTTCTGATTGCACGTTGCTTTCATTCCCCTATTTTTAGTAGAAACATCTGTTTTTTTCCCAGAATCCTATCTGATCTGATGATATTTTCTCTTACTTTTATCAGCCAACTTGGTCTAGGAGTCGAGGCAACGTTAGAGACACTGCAAGATCACTTGCAGGATGCAAATATTCATTTAAATGCTAAGAACAGTGATTTAAGTTAAAAATGCAGCCCTCTCAGCAAAGGTTTTGTGGTACATGCTGCTCGGTGATAATTAGAAATGACGAATAATAAGTACTTTGTTTGGCAATAATGTGATACATAATATACCTAATGGTAGGTTGCTTGTTTCAGCACACAATGGGAGAATTTATTGGGAGATATTTCACTTTACAATAACAATTTAAGGCGATGATGATCTGGAAAAAAAAAATGACTTAATATTGACTGACAAGAACTGAACTTAATGGATGCTTCACAGTGACAGATTTTATTTTCCAAAATGTTGCGTATAACCTTAGTGCCTAATTAAGACATCCATTAGAAGCCTTTAACGTTAATTTAGGGTGAAAAATACAGTAGAGCTCTATCTGAGATTTTGCATTTAAATGATCACTTTAGGCTGTTAATAGACATCTCAGAGGCATATAATTATTGGGAGAAATATTGTTCAACTACAAAAATGTGCACATTATGGCCTCATTACCCCAAACAATCGGTTTACACCAGCTCTAGAACGCATTTTCACGTGGAAGAAAGTGTGCGTTCCTACCAATAACCCAGCTACACACTTCTGAAGCCCTCAGAAATATAAATGGAAGAGCGAGAAGGCTTCAGCACGATGCCCTGTGTGAGCAATTAGATGTGAGGAGCACTGGGTCAGATTTTCACCAGTTGTAACTCAGCAGGGCTTCGTTGGCATCAGAGGAAGGTGAGTTACACCAGGGAAGCATCCCACTTTATATTACCGATAAAATCAGGATCTATTTCTCTTTGGACGTTGCCAAGCAATACGGATTCTCAGGTTAGACTCGCATAGCTGTGTGTAATTTCAGCCTCCATAGTATTATGATTATCTTATAATTTCAGCCTCCATTATCCGAAGTTTATCGGCTGTGACCGTGTCTGAAGGGAGGATGTTTTGGGGAAATGGCTCTGTTTACATTAACCCAGTTCGGTCCTTAGAGAGGATAACTGATGATTCTGCTGGACAACACCTGAGTGCTAACGCTCCTGAATCCCCACTGGCTAAAAGACAAAAATAATAAATAAATAAAAAGCTTTCCTGACTTTTAAATTGTGAAATGGTTTGGCGGTAGCACCTTTCGTGGAGTTTTTCCATCAAAAGCAGCATTCGGACCTGAGAGTAGCTGGGGTCCCTTGACGTCCAAGCACAAGTTTCTTTCTTGTAGTGCTTGGTTGAAGAATGACTCTCATAAAGATTTTTTACAGCATCTGTGCCTACATTTTTCGTAGACTTTTCAAGCAGAGGAAGCAACTCCTTGCAGAGAGTAGAAATGTTTGAGCTATGTATTTGTGTTAATTTGAGAAACTTGGCTATCATATCTTGATATGTATCAAACCAAACACCATGATCGGAGAAACTGCTTAGTAACCACAAGCTACAAGTCTATAAATAATACCCCATGATGTAAACAAGCAAAGAAAAAAAAAATAGAAAAAAAAAATACACCAAATATTCTCATTTCCATCCTGGTGCCATTTGTCCCTGACCAGCATAACATTCCTATGGGATGAGAGCTTCGAAAAGCATCTTTATTTCAGAAAAAATAAAATAGAGGAGTAGTGATGATAAACTTTACACTGTTTTTTAAGTAACTTTGGATCCCTAGCACCAAAATGAAGTCCAGAAGACTCACCTGGGCTCTCTGCACTCCAGAAGCTCACTCCTGTGGTGCTGATATATAAGACCAAAATCAGATCATACCTCTTTGCATGCTACTAGAGTGCCATGGACAAAAGAAGGGAAAAGAAGGAAAAAAGAAAGAAAACAAAGATATTTTTAAAGTTAGGCAGAGCCCGGTAGTTGCAGTTCACCCGGCTGAGGCTAGGTTATCACATAGGGCATGCTTTACCTCTCAGCCTTATTTCCAGGCTCTTTTTTTTATCTCCAGAATATCATTTGCCAAGAAGGTTCTTCCTCCAAACTTCCATTGTTTCCTAACACTGCTATTTCTGCTCCCTAAATCCTAAAATTTTTAAGTTTTATTCAATCCTAAGCAGTAATTGCAATGCCCCAGTTACCCAAAGTCTGAGTTTGAGTTCTTCATTCTTTTCCCAAAAATACTTCCCCTAGATGTGCCAGGAAATATTACATGGCTTCCCGTGAGCACCCAGTACTTGATGTGCATCATTAAAGCCATTTCATTTTATTTCAGCACTGAAACCCTAAAGACTTACATTGTATGGTTTATGGCATTTATCAGACTGAATGGTGCACCTGTACTTGAGAAATGTGCTCATAACAGAGCAGTTTAGTGTGTGCTACCTATTTTTATATTTGTTCAACCCGTATCTCTTGCAGAGAATGCTGTAATTGTTGTTTTGGAGTAAAAATAGACAAATACGAATTAATTGTCGTAGCCTCCTTTGAAGCTATTTTGATCAGACACCCACTGTTGCTGCTTTTAAAAAGAAAATAATAGTTTTTAATCAATCTACATTTTACACGGACGTTGCAGAGGAAGCACTAACCGAGAGGCTGGTTTTTTTTTCAGCTTACATCCTCTTCTACACCCTGGACAAGAATGCTCCCATCGACGACTGGGTGATGGAGTCCATCAGCGGGGACCGGCTCACCCACCAGATCATGGATCTCAGCCTGGACACCGTCTACTACTTCCGAATCCAAGCCCGCAACGCAAAGGGAGTGGGGCCTCTCTCCGATCCCGTTTTCTTCCGGACGCTGAAAGGTTTGGATCTATGTCATCCTGATATTTATGATAGCTCCATTTTTCTTCTGGCTCCGTGGGAGCTTTGCAATTAATTCCACGGCAGCCAGAAGAACTCCTACCACTTGAAACTATTATTGAGAGATGAAAGCCAACCGCTGCATATGGTCGTTGACAAGAGTAAACCACATAATGAGTCAGTAACTGTAGTTTTAAATTCAATCAACTTGGGGAGAGCGCTCTGACACCACCTAACTTCCACCCATCAATGGTAGAGCTAATTGGATGTGCCTGGATTTCTCCAGGGACCTACCTTTTCTTTTGGGATCCTCAGGTGACTGTAGGAGCTGGCAATGACTCACTCCTATCAACAGAGCAGGCACACACGATTAGAATTAAAAAATCTCAGCAAACTGAGATGCAATCTGACTTCGCATGGGGAAAATTGTCCCAGATATTTTTCAGTGCCTGCTATTAACAACAGAAATCACTGCTGGATCTCTCCCCGCTAGTGACCGGCAAAGCAGGGGCACCCAATTTTTTTGGCTGGTGCATGTTTTAACCAGGCCACTGTGTTTATGAGAGCAAAAGGACTCGTAGCCAGCTCGATTTTTAATTAGCACAGTGAGATATTCCTCTTCTGTCCTCCCTTGAGGACATCATCTCCCCAGAAATGATTCGATATGAAGGTGTAAGCAACACTGCTGTGAGGGGGGAGCGGGATGTTTGCAGCAGCTCTGCTCCTTCTATTTTAACTGTCACTCACCGATTTGCACAACGGTACGAAATTACTTCTGAAAAGAGGTATAATTAATGAAAAAGTCGAACGGCATAAACAGCAAACCTGTTCCAGGAAAGAAGCGTGGCGTGTGAGAGCACTTCAGTGCTCTATCTGCTGGAGGAAATCCAGGGGTTTGCACATAAAAATAACATCTTGGCAGAAGGGAATTGGAAGTGGATTTAGGCTGGACCTGCGAAGTCAGGGTTAGAGGGAAATTCAGAATGAAAGCTGTACACAAAAGCCTGGGAATTAGCATTCAAGTTCAAACCTCTTTTTAATCAGTTATAAGTGACTTCAGTTAACGCGGGCTGTATAAAACCTAAATGAAATGACTGAACAAAAGGGGTGACGTGCAATCCCTCCATCTCTCCTTTTATTTTTATTTTCCTGTTGGGCAAGAGCTCATATTCGAGTTCATCTTCCATGTCCAGCGGGTGCCTGGCACTTCCCATGAAGGAGGGATTCGGATGAATGAGGCAGTGTCCTCGGCAGCCCTGGCAGAGAGCTCGCCCTTTCTGCTTCGCTGCTATCAGTGTCTACGAAGCGTGCTGCCGACCATTCAGGCCGGGAGTGAAAAGGCTCATACAACAGTTTTCATGAATTAGCACGAGTCAGAAAGGAAAAAAAAAAAAAAGGAAAAAAATTGTACCAATTTGTTCGGAGCTTATCGCAGCCAGCCCAGGTTTGCAGGACTTCCTTGTCCAAGTCGTGTTTCCCTCTGAATGAATTACGGGTAAGATCGTGATTATTCATTCTCCACTGCCATGAAACGTGAAGAGATAGCACTTTGTGGGTGCTTCATCTCCATCAGGAGGATGGTGCCAACTTAATTTCATGCTCGCAATTTGTGCCAAGCAGAAGGCTGTTAGGCTGAGTCGAGGCATCAAAATATAATAACCACCGACTAATGAGATATCAAAAGATATAGAGACTCGGATATCTAAGTAAACTGAAAGATTAATGTACTAGATACCCCCTATTTTGTAATGTTTACACAAAGTACCATAAAACTCATTTGGGAAATGAATTCTGGATCAGACAGCATCAACAGATACCAAAAAGATGAATTTATACATTTGTTGCATCTCGTAATTGCCTACGAGGACTATGTCTAATACCCTGCCATGAATATTTAATGATAACCACCCTAAACATGTCATGTTCAATAACATTCAGCTGGTTTTTTTTTGACAAATATATCTCTGCACTTGAGGTGAAAAGACTTTCTGAAGTCTTGAGTGCGTTCTGAATTATGCAGAAACGTCGGTTTCCTGCCCTTAATGATTATTAACAGAAGAGGTGTAGGCACCATATGGGAATGTGTGCTCTGATGGCAAATATATGTCCTGATCAGAGAAAGTTTTAAGCCGTGAAGAACGAAAAAAAGCAGCAAAGATCCACTAAGTCACCCAACATCTGATTTCATATATTATAATGTTCCTCCAAGGAAACCAGGCCGTTGCCATGTAAGTATTTGTAGTGACTTCCCTTTACTAATGAAAACGTAGTGGGCTGTGAGAAATAGGTGTGTTTAGTAGTAAATAACGCTCCCACGGAGCAATGAGTTTATGTTCTTCCACCTCGGCTCCACTGATGATAACACCCAGGCAAATGGCAAATCCTTAGCTTATGGAAATCGTCGTTACACCGTGAACTTCAATCAATCTGTGACAGTTTACATCACTCGAGGATCTGCTTTTTTATGCTCTGGCTGGCTAATTTATCGCTGCATGCATGAAGAGTCTGATGCAAACATTATAAGGAGCCTGGAAGATGGATAAAATGTGATGAAACACCCCACAGCTTTCTGACTGGGTAACCTGGGCCCAAACTTGAAGTCATTACTGGGATTTTTCGTACTCCTTAGTGGGAAAATACCTGGATAATTTCAATAAATATTATACACACGTCTGTGGCAGAGAACAGAGACCGTCTCGGTGTTACATTGCTTGATGGTGCATAAACGAATCATTTTCAGCAATTCACTGAGTAGAAATAAGTAAACACAACCCGAAATTTCTTTGCCACTGCCCAGTGAAATGTGATAGCTGCAGGGGGAATGAATGAACCCGTGACAGGCAGAGAGGAGGGAGGATTTCTTCGGTCTTTTAAATAATTTGTCAGTGAGTGTTCTCCTCTGTTGCAGAAACAAGGAAATCTTAGAGGTGTGCTTTCTTCTGCTGAGCTGCACCTCTTCTGGATTCCGGCCAGCATTTACAACCAGGCTGAGCTGCTTTAATTAAAACCGGAGCCCCAAAACCTCAGGGGCTGCCCATGGGCCTGTGGGGCACCATTCCCAGCCCTGCAGTGCCCTCTAACGGGTTTGGGGGTCATTGAAGGAGCTCTTCCCCCTCCCACATATGGAGAGAATATGGATGTGGCCATCTGGGGGACAGGTTGGATGCAAACTGCTGCTAGTTCAGCACCTTCATCGTTCCCTAGCACAAACCCACGATCTAGCAGAGGTTTCAGAGACATTTTTAGCAGCGAGGGGTTCAGCATGCCCTGCACCTGCAGGTGGTCATGATCAAACTTGCAGCTTCATGCACCAAATGACATTTTTTCCCCCAATTTCCTGCATTTAATTCTCGCATATTCATTAAGCAGAGGACCGGTTAATGCTTGTAGCTCTTCATGTAGCCAAGGGAAGCCGAAAAAGGAAGGCTTTTAATGTATCTATTGAAATGTGAAGTCTTGTCGAGCACACTTCAGATCACGCTATCTTTTATGGTTATTATGCAAAAACATGTAAATACTTTTAAAGTCTTTTGTAGAAGGCTGAAACAATGATAATATGCGTCAAGCTGAGCGTTCAGCTTGCAGGTGATTTGGCCATAATTATTCAAAGAACCGGAGTTTCTCTTCTCTGCCTCTTTCTCTCTTTCCTTTCTTGCTTAATTAAACTTCCCAGATTATGATGGCATGTCAAAGAACGAGAGAATGAGAAAATACCGGGGGCAACTTTTCACCTTTGTAAAAACTTTGTGCAAATATTTGATGTGGAGCATGGGGCTCTTTGAGAAAAGGGAAGGCTAAAAAAACCTCCTTCCCCCCCGCGCTGCCTGCTTGGGGATGCTTTGCTCTGGGGTTTTCGCTTCGCCAGCGGCCCGGCTCTAACGACGTTGTCTCTTTCTTGCAGTTGAGCACCCCGACAAAATGGCCAATGACCAAGGTACGGTGCCCTCAATCTGTCGCCTTCATTCCCGGCATCCCCGCCGCGCCGCCGCCTTTCACCTGGGCTGCACACCTGAGGAGGCAGGCGCCGGCGCGCTAATTAATCTTGTTAATGAAGTTCTGCTCGGCTGAGGCTGCTGCTTTGATGGGGAAGATGTAAATTTTCGGGAGAGGAAATTGTTTTGTCTCTTTTCTGAAGGACCAATTAAAATGTCAAGCTGCTTTGTATGAAATAAATTTTTAGTCTCTCTGCTGCACTTCTGAATAATTCACGTTAAATATAATTAAGCTCGGCATAATTCCCCGGCTCTTCCTGCACCCTTTTGTGGGTTATAGATTAAAGTTCAGAAGGCTCACGGTGAGAAATCATAAATCATCTTTACCCTCAAAACAGCAGCTCTCGTTTAATAATAGCAAAGTTTAGTCAACTTTTCAAGGCATTATCATTATGTTTGCCAAATACGAATGTGTCTGATTAGTCACAGCTCCTCTGCTCCTATCCCCTTTTCAGTACTTGGAAAGTGTGTTGCTAGGATATTTTTCATTTTTTCCTCTAGACCTGTTTATTCGTAAGTATTTATTTCAATTATACCCAGAAGATCATACATTTCTGTGACATCTGCCCAAGGAAACGGTCATGGGGACGTTGGGAGAACTTGGAGGTGATGCTGGGAGGTGCGTTTGGTTTGAACTCTCACTTTATGCTCATGTCAAAGGCAAAGTGAGAGATCAACCTCAAATCCTAGCTTTACTTACCAGCTGCCATCATACCCCGATTTAATGAATTACATTAATTTGAAACATGGAAATTCCTGGTGGAAACGAGAGCATTATTTAGGGCTTCAAGCTGGAACACCCATGGGAGTTACCCTATTTCTTCACGAGGGTTTCACCATGCACCAGGTACCAACAAGGCTGCACATCCCCGCAGGCGAGACCCACTCTCAGCCAATTTGGGAAATTCGATGTCTAATTTCAGCACATAATCTTCTCCGTAAAGGCAGAAAGAAGTATCGAAATTATAAAATTAAAAGCTGGTTTTGCTCGGTATGATTTATTGCACCACAGCACACACAAATTGAAAATGTCAGCTTTGAATAGATAAAAACTGCTTTTAAAAGGTAAATGTGTTAGGTTGCAAAGAAGCCTGAAAGTAAATTATCAATATATTTTTCTCGAATTTGCATTTAAAATATATTCAGGCAGGCTCAGAAAACTTAGGAGAGGCTTCAGCACAAAGTATCACCTGGTAAAGCAGGATTGAAAGAGCATCACTTTTTTAAAAAATGGGGGAAAAAGGAAGGCTAGAAGGAAAATTGAGTTTGTTGTGTTTGTTTTAGTTCTTCCCTCTTTCATCATATCTGTACTGCTGCTTGAGTGCTATTTAATGACCTTGTGGCACAACACATGGAGCATCTCCCATCGCAGCTGGTTGTGATTTCGAGAGGCAAAGCCTCGAAAAAGAGCCTCTGGCAGGCAGCCTCTGAGCTCCCAGCTCTGCCCTCGCTGTCACAGCACCATAGCTTTTTGCAGCTATTGTAGCACAGCCACTCTTCTATCCATCTTCCATTATTTCTCTGTACTTGCCCCAAATCTTCTGCCCATGAAACTGGTGTCAGTAGAAGCAGTGCCTTGCTCCTGACTTTCTGCTTGCTTCATTCCCTGTAATGCTGCAGAAAAGTCAGAGGTTTTCGGATGCTTGTGGGTAGAAAACCACAGAAAATGTGGCAAAGCATTTTTCTGTTCCACAGAAGTGTGATCTTACCTCCGCCACGGGGATTAACGAAATCAGATTCTCTGCAGAGACACCTGCCTGTCCCTTCGTGTGCTGCGGTGTAATTAATGGGGAGAAGGGAATAAGCATGACAGGTTCACTCTGCATATGGCAAGCGAGCACATATTCCTCGAGTGACTGCAGAGAAGGAGTTCTGGGCCATTTCCCTTTTGTGCATCCTGCTCCTCTGGGGAAGCTGTGACCCTTGCTAAAGTCTCGAAAGCCTGCAGAAGGGTGCAGCCTGCAGAAGCTCCAGTTCATTGCTTTAAACATTTGGGGGGAGCTCTTCCTCTCCCAGCCAGCTGCTCAGAGTCTCAGCCTGCATGGTGCTTAAAATACAACCGCGATTTGTTATTCACTTGAAAATAATAAATTACACGGTGTCACGGTGGTTAGATAAAGTAATGTTAAGACCTGTTTCTGCATTTTTTAAAGATCATTTCGAGATACAAAATGATACACAGCCTTCAGCGTGTAGGGTGGTTACTAAATGCATGCTGGATAGCTCATGGTTGATTACAATAGCAAAATAGCTGTTATCGTGCTTCTTATAGATACTGCACTTATAGATACCTATAGGTATGAGAGCTACAATGGCTTTCTATAATTGGGAAAGCAGTAGGATTAGCAGGGAGTGAAATTAAGGTGATAGAAACTGTGTCCTGGGCTGCTCGACCCCATCCACCTCTGGTCACCCTGCCCTCTCCCTGCAGGAAAGCCACCTCCTGGCCATGTTAAGTTACAAAAATTAAACCTTCTTGCTGGGTTTAGCAGATAGCAAGCATGCACAACATGAGTTAAACATGATCAGTCCCTCTTGGTGTTACCTGGACATAAATCCTGCCTTTTGTCTGGGTAGGTGAAATAAACTTCATCGCAGTTCTTTAAGGCTGTAGTATAGAAGAAGGAAGTCTCAGCCTTTTGTGGTTTGTTTCCTAGGCTTGTTGATATCTAAATTCAGCGTCCACTTTTCAGTGACCTCCGTGATGAATTCTTATAAGAGAAAGTCCGAGGCCCTCACTCGATCTGCAGGCAACTCTATTAAAGACGAGTCACCGGGGCCAGGTCTCACTGTAACTGTACTGCGAGCAGCGAGATAAACAAAGTCAGATTTCCTAAAAGCTCGTTTGCCTCAGAAATAATCAAAGCTAATTCTTTAATCATCCCGGGTCTGAAGCGACGCTCACTGAAGTCAGCGATAGCCTTTTAAATTACTCCGTGCTTTGGACAAGGCCCTTGGGGGCCGTCTCTGCCACAAATGCAATTCGTATTGAGTGACACGAATTAACTCTGGTAGGTCATCCATCTCCGACACCGGCACGTGGCTGTGAAGTTCAGGGAGAAAAAGGCACTTCTGTGGCAGCAGAGCAGAGCTGGAGGCTGTGGGACAAGTGGGGGGTTTTGGGCAAAAACCCCGGGGTTTCAGGACACGAGGCAGTGTAGCCTTGAGGGGCCTGCACGAGGTAAAGGAGATGGGGCAGAGAGCACAATCTGGGGAGAACTTCAATGGTTTTTGGCCATCATAAAGGCAGCAGAAGTGATAATATGAAAGTAAGCATAAAAATTACAGTTTCAGATGCTCAAGAGAGAATTTTTATCACAAATTTTGTGTATGTAGGAGAAGGCCAGCTGCTTTCTTAGGAGCTATTGTCAAGTCTTCCTTAAGTCTTACAAACTCTGTTTATGATTTTGATCTGGAATTTAGAGGCAAACTGGGTGAAGAAGAGATTAATTCACTCTGTTTTATCTTGCCCCGGTTTTCATTTGCTAAACCCATATTAAATTTAGTCCCAATTTTGTCAATATAGGACTTGTAAACAGTAATGTGTGGCCATCGGAATTAGATCTGTGAAAGAGCAAAAAGCTGATTTCTGCCTTTGGACTACAGCTGTTTCATAGCATCCCCTGGAAATTCTGATAAAAGGAAACATACCCAATTTCGAACAAATATTTTTTATTATCTTAGGAAATTTCAGTACATTTTGATCGTTCTATTGTTTTCCAAAAAAACTGTATTCCGTGAAATGGACCATTATAAACTATCCAGATGAATTGTGTATGGAATGGAATGTACTTATGGAATATAGACATGAGTTTTTTATATATATGACGTTCCTCTTTATAACCATAAACTGGAGATTTAAGATTGAGCTTCAGCACTTGCCGCCATGGTGAGGCCTACAGGAGGCCTCCAACTCCCCATGCCCGGAGCAGGGCCTGTGGCCATACCAAGCTCCACAAAAGTCCATGGAGAAGATCATGACAGGCAGTTGTGTTTCCAAATCCCAAGAAAATCTACAAATCTACAGCTGTGCTTCCAAATCCCAAGGAAAATGGAGGCCTGCATTGTCCTTCACCCGGCCTGAAGGCCCGTTGCAGGGTTCCCAGGCGGTGCGGGGACTTTGGGGGATTTTGCTTCTCCCGAAGAGGGACCGAAGGCCGGTTGTGTGGTGGCACACCTGCAGTTTTACACCTCGGTGCTCTTCATCTCATGAGTAAACAGCACACTAATTGTTTCAGCTCTCAGAGCTGAAGCACTGTCCAGTCAAGCGTGGAATTTGGCTGTCTGTAGTTCAGTCTCCACCGTGCTGGACTTGGGCAGCCGTGTTGCTCTTCACCTGCTTGAAACCTTCCTGTGCTCGGTGGTGGTGGGCTGGAAACTCTTAATGTGCATTTTTCATGTGTTTTCCTGTGTGAAAACAGCTGCCAGTACATTTAGAGCCTGATACCAGCCCCCGAAAAGCCGCGTTGTCTCACTCAGTGACAGCAGAAGGTGTTCAGTTTGCCTCTTTATTTCCTTTGACGGCCTCGGGCTTTTGGCTCTGAAGCTATTTTGCAAACTCTGGGAGTAGCATCAGTGAAAGGATGAGCTATTCAGATCTTTTTTCAAAGAGCTGCTTCCTAAACAAATAATGCAGCAGTCTGCAATGCTCTTTGCTACTAGGAGAAGCAATAAAAAGTATCCCATTTATCAGAAGAACCTCTTCTGAGGAAAGAAAGAAAGAAAAACAAAACCAAAAACTTTCTTAAGGTCAAAAACATGGAAAGCATCTGCAAGGAGGGATCTCAGAAGACATGCTTGAAATTATAAGGAGGGTTATTCCTGCATAATGGTTGCGTTTCCTGCTATGCTGAGACGTCGCTGAGACAGCTACCTCAGGAGGCACCTTGAAAAAGCAGAAGTAGAAATTCGAGAGGAAATGTGGTATCTGTTCATCTAATTGTGCATTTCTGCCCAAACCCCAGGGTCCTTCCCAGAAGTCTGCCAGCTTATACATGCTGAAAAAGCAAACTTAAAAATATTTCTGCCTTCTTCGAGCTCTTCAGCTCTCGCTAGCACAATGTGTTGTCTCCTTCATTACCTGGTGCTGGCTGTGGATGGGAAGACAAGAAGACACAAATCCTTGTGCTCTGAGTTGTTTAAATGATGATGGATGCAGAACTTCAGTGCTCAAAGCTGAATGTCTCGAGGTCTGCCACATAGTGTGGTCAATGGGGGGAGACAGGAGCCTTCAAAAACAGGTTTTCCCAATGCCCCCGCAGCATTGCACATCCCAGGCTGGCCTGATGTCCTTCTTCAGGAATAAATTCTTCAAGGGATACCTGGGGAGGCAGGAAACATCGATTAGTCTCTGCTTTCTCATACGAGAACATTGCTCAGCTTATTTTCTCAGTATTTTTGGACTGTGTAAGGCAAAATGCAAGAGGAAAAAGATTTATGCTATTATCCCAACAGAATTTCTGACCCCTTTCCAGGTGCTGGAGACCTGGGAGGATGAGGATCTGCTGTGGTCACAGACGTCTTGATTTTTTTTTTTTGCCTTGACATGATCAAGTCGAAATGGTTATTGAATATAATGGTCATGGAAAAAGCACTTGTTTTTTCAGAAAAAATACTTGAGTAACTGAAACATTTGAAAGACAGAAGTGAAATGGAGGAGTGAGAGATGAGAAAGAATATGTAGGATCGAATGGATTTAGGTTTTAGTACCTCAGAAAGCATACTAAAACTGATTTAAAAAAAAAAAAGTAGGAAAAGCAAGTTTGAAAAAAAGCAGTTCTGGAAAAAGCAGCTCGTTATTCAAGATTTTACAATGCTTTGTTCCAAAAACCTTGAGTAACATGAAGGAAAAAAGCTCCACTGGAAAATGGTGGAAGTCAAAGAGTTAGTCCATGGTCTGACCAAAAAAAAAGGGATCTAGACATACCTGTTGATTTATTTTGACCTTATAAGTGTCTTTCTGGTTGGCAAGGAGGGTTTACATCCAAATTCAGTGGAGCAGGAGTTTTGGACTTGTCTTCCATAAAATGGGAAGCCCACTGGTGCCATGGAGAGTGATGGCAACTCTAAGCACAGGGCGTGTTATTCCAAAGCATGTTGTTCCAAATAATGTCTTAGTAGCAGAACAAAGCTGAAATAACCTAAATTCAATCTTTAAAGAATTTTGGAAACGTTTCTAGCCCCCAAGCCCTCCTGGATATGCTCAGTGTAGCCTGGTTGAGAGGTTGCTGTGTCTCCATTGCTGGTCCCTTCCCAGGGCAGGGTCTCCAGGCCAGGGTGAGCTCTCCAGGACACCCATCACACCGAGTGCTGCTTTTCCCCAGGAACACAGTCCTTAAATTCAGAAAAAACAGGAAAACTGAAACGGGCAGCTGTTTACGCAAATATTTATACAATAAAAATGTGATGCATAATGCCTTGAAAAGTGCTCTTCTGCTAATTCAAAAAGTACTGAACTTGGAGTCAGGCATGCAGGTTAGTTTTGTTTTTTTATTTTTTTTTTTTGAAGTTCCCAATATCCAGATTGAATTTTTGAATGTGTTAAGCTCCCTCTAAGATCCGTCAGTGTGGGCTAAGTATCAAAAATAGCAATGTTTAGCAGCCTCCCGTTGAGATACCCAGGTTCCTAAGCACAATATAACCCCGGTGTCACAACGTATTCACAGGTAGCAGTGTAGTACGGCGAATATGACTGCTGGAGAGTGTCATCGTGGTAAACAGAATTACTATATATCTTACATTTATCTCTATTTTGCCTGTTTTTACAGCTAAACATTTTGCAACCTTGTTTTCTCGGGATCAAGTTGTTGTAGCTGTGCAATTACGCTGATTGAAAAGATGATTACGCTGAAGTCTCTTCTGATGATAATCATCTTACATTTATTTAGGGCCATTCATCACAAAATACTTGCCAAATTGGTAGACAAAGTTATGCGCATCAATTCCTTCACAGCCCACAGAAACACGAGTACCTCTGGAGGGGAATTATGACAGTTGTTTAACGCAGCAGCAACAAACAACTGCAGGAAAATGAGAAAACGTTGGGTTTTTTGGGACTGAATCTCCCAAGAGATCGGATGGAGATGGTGGTCGTTGGAAGGAGAAGGGACAAAATTAAGGAGGTGAAAAGATGAACACCTGAAATTTTACTCCGTTAATTTGGAGTGCAACTATTCCCTCAGCAGCCAAAATATTTTTAGAATAATAATCATATTCCTTCTTCTTCTTTTTTTTTTTTTTTTCTAATCTTAAGAGTTAGAAAATAGGCAATTTTGAGAAACAGAAACAGTGAAACAGTTGTGGAGTTACATTTCCATCATTTTTTCCATCAACAGGTCGTCACGGCGATGGCTCCTACTGGTCGGTGGACACCAACCTGATTGACAGAAGCAGCCTGAATGGTAAATGCAGGCTCCCTCCGATGACATTTTCCATTCTCACATTTCCATTTCATCTTTCTGTGGAAAACAGCGTTTCTTTGTTAATTAGTTCTGCCCTAAAATAGGAAGAAACAAGGATAAACCCTGTGGATTAAGGCTAATTAACTGGACCTAATCATTGCCAGCTGGGGTGGAGGTGCACAATCAATGACTTTATATTCCCGAGCCCACCTCCAGTACCTAACAAAGCCTTGTCACCTCCCGTTATTGAATGAAACAACAGGCACGGTTCCCTGATATGCGGTACCAAGTGAGGTTCCAAATACAAAATAATTACGAGGCACATAGCTGATTAACTCAGACTGATTATTTTCCTCGGCCAAGACAAGGAAGGAATGCTAAGTGTCCTTACCTTCTCCTGTCCTAGTTTGCTGTGGGCTTAGCTCCTGCTCTTCCTAATATATATAAAATATAAAATACTTCATCATAATTACAGGAAAAAATACTTTTGAGGTGTAAAGAGAACTTCCAGGACCTGCAGTAAAGGGTAGGGAAGGAAGATTTGTTGTTTTCCTTGATATTTACTGTATTGTTTTATGTGATGTCTTCTTTCAGTGCCTTTTAGTCAGCATGGAAATGAAAAAGAAAGCCAAATCTTTGGGATTTCTGTACTAGGTCATTGTAAAGCCAAAAAGATGCCACAAAAATCCAAAATTATTATAAAAGCATAAAATGGGCTATTCCCTACGTAACGGGGAAAAATAGAAGCGAGGGAGCTGTGCTTGAAGTCAGTTTGACCGGGACTTGATGCTAGAAGTGGTGGCGTCTTCAATCCCAGTCTTGCAGCTGCATTGAAACCAAAGGTTTTAAGACTACTTGGTGCCACCCGAAAGGCTTTCCATCTTGTTGTGATTTACGGGCGGCTCCTAAAGAGGGAGAGGAATAAATCCACCGCTAACCAGCCGCCGTTGTCCTTGTTGTCCTTGCAGAGCCCCCCATCGGGCAGATGCACCCTCCCCACGGCAGCGTCACGCCCCAGAAGAACAGCAACCTCCTCGTCATCATCGTCGTCACCGTCGGCGTCATCACCGTGGTGGTGGTGGTGGTGGTGGCCGTCATCTGCACCAGGCGCTCCTCGGCACAGCAGAGAAAGTACGTTTGCAAAGCTCAGGGCAGAAGGAGAAGGGAATTACACCCGTTATGCTTCAAAGCAGATGCAGGAAAAGACCTCCGTATAGAAGAGAGGGGGAGTTTGGGACCAAAATGCATTTTGGGGATGGGTCTTTTGTAGTTTTTGGAGGTATGGGCTTGGAGATCACTCAAGAGTGGAGAATATTCCCTGCCCCCAGGTTGCATGGTGCAAGAATAAGCACCCCCGCTGCGGTCAGCCTGGAGAAATCAGCCTGTCAGGCACATCTCTCTGTTGTTTACATTGCCAAGTATAATTCAGACACAGGAAAGAATCAATCCCATTGATTTAAAGGGGGAAAAAAAAGTGTTTGTCTGTGCCTGGCGATGCTAGCAGACTTGCTGGCTCCGCAGCTCTGCACCTGCACGGCTGAGGACCACAGAGAGTCCTGCTCACTCGGTAACCTTTGGGAGGATGCTCTCCTCCCCAGACAGGCTGTCGCCAGAAGTCTTCCAGGAAAATGCAATAACAACTGTTTCTCGAGATAATTCTTAAATACTCAGGAAAAAAAAAATAGAAAATTACGGGGAAAAATCTTTAGTATTCTTCTAAAATGCTAAAAAAAAGCATAAAGCACAATAGCGTCTTTTTTTAGGTTTCCTGAGAAATTGGAGGTGGGGTGAGTGGCTTTGAAACAGAGCTGGGTTTGATACACTGAATTTATTGAAAAATACTCAGCAAAAGGTTCATTATTCTACTCTCTTGAAATGCTGGCAACGAGAAAGTGAAGTTTAAACATAGTTTAGCCACAAGAATGGTGTCGTGGTATTTTTTTTTCAAGAGCAAGACCGAATGTATGACATTGATTTGCGTGGATGCTTAAAGAAGGGTGGCTCTCCTGGGTTTCTTAAAAGGAGGAGGGAATCGCAAGAGGGACGAACAAATAGAGAGGTTCGTCTGTCCAGCATCAAAACTTACATGCCCAGGTCTGAATTAATCAGCCTCAACCTCCTTGGTAGCTCCATGGGAGGAACAGGGGTGTTCAGAGATTTATCTTCTCCAAAAATATGAGAAGGCTTTCCATTTGAAGGCATTTATTCCTCTCTTTTTAATTAAAAAATATGAAGGTGGCAAACTTGCATTTGCTGTGTAACTTCTGAGCATCTCCAGGGGTGAACGGGCAGGTGGATCTGCCCCAAGTGACCCTACGCCAGCCATTCCTGACCCGAAAACGAGGAAAAAGGAGTAAATAAATGTGAAACGACGGATCTGAACTTTTGAGCAGCAGGAAAAAAAAAATTAAAAAAAAAAAAATGGGCTTCTTCAGAACAGAGTTTGTTGGTGTGAATTTGTTTCTGACCTGCCTGGAGAGCCGCATCCTGTGACACCCGGAGTTTAGGCAGCAGCTTTTCTTATTTTAAAATTATAAAATCACCGCTGAACAAAAGGACTGCCGGGAGGGGAAAGGCCAAGTCCTGTTGGATAATGCGGTGCTTCCCCAGAGCGAAAACTTGCAGGTGATGGAATAATCTCCCGTAAGCCTTCGGTGGAAGCAAGTCGTATTTCTGCAGTTAATTAAAAGTTGGCTGAAGAAAGCACAATAAAGCATATTCTAGAGAACAACTTGCTAACTGCCCTCGGTGGCTTAGCGTGTATTTTCTGTCCCTGCCACCGAGGGAAGAATGAAATATACACAAACTCTACAGCAATTTGACACGGGGAAAAAAACGGGCGGAAAAAACGGGTAAAGATCCAGGTGCAATAATTTAGCTGTGAGTAAGGGCTCCTGCAGGATCTGAGATTCATCCCTTCACCGTAATTACATCCTCCCCAGCACGTGTGTCTGCTGATGTGGTTATTTGGAGGGTGGGCAATGGGGTCACCCATCAGGCTGTCCCCAAATACCCTCCTGGGCCTGGGCAGGGCAGGTCACAGCTCGTGAATCCTGGTTGAATCTTAAAGGATGAAATCGCTTTATGCAATATGCTCTCAAACCACAGGACCTGCTTCTCCCAGGAACATTTTCAAGGCTTTACGAGACTGGGAAACTTGTCAAACACGTCACAACAATTAGCCCAAGGACCGGTGCCATTAGGATACGGCATAGGAGAAAAGATGAGGGTGGACATCTTGTCCGAGCCTGGGCTGCAGGTTGTGGAGATTTAAACAATGAAACGTGAAATGCAGTCTTGAACAAGTGCCCAAGCAATTAGTGTGGTGGGCAGGGATCAACATAAAAAGAGATGACAAAAAACCAGCTACGACTGCTTTGAGTCCCGTAGAATTATGCGTACAGGGTTGGGAAGGCATTAAACAAAGTGTCACCACCCTGAAGTTAAATGGGATTGAGCTGGCAGCCCCTGAAGAGCCTCGGTTTGTTCCCCTGGGGTGTGGGTGGCACAGGGTGGGATTTTAATGGGGACAGAGGGTGATGGAGCTGGGTGATGGGAGAGACTGGTCTGAGGTTTTCAGGCCACCTAGCAGGAAATAAAGAGGCCAAAATGAAATGATGTTCCACTCGAAAACAGTGGGGGAGATTTAGGGAAAAAGAACAGTTTTGCATTCCCGATTTGTTCATGCGTTGTTTTTTTTTTCTTTCTTTTTTTTAATAGGATTTTTACACCAGTTGACTTGCCTTTAATACGGCCCGAAAGGCAAAAGGCAGCCGACTTAGAGCAGTTACAGCGCTCTCAGGGCAAACGAGGTGAATTGGAAAAGGCCTTGCTGGGCAGCCTTTAGATGCATTTGTCTCTAGCTGCAGGGGGATGGAAACCCTGCCTACCGCACGGCTCAGCACCCGGTCCTATAATTGGCCCGAATCAGACACTAAAAGCTGTTCGCCTGCAGGGGTCCAAACATCACATCCCATCCGCAGGGCTGATGCTAATGAGTTAGCGGCCGTGCTGCTGCTGCTGGCTGGCCTCATCAGTTAAGCTTGGGTTTGGTTTGAGAATGGTTAATTTCAGCTTATTTCGGGATTTAATTTTTTAGGTTTATTCCCAAATAACAGTTTATTCCCAAGATATTCACATAGGGAAGGTCCTAAACTGTTAAAAATTAAACTAGACGGAGTTGTTGTAAACTTAACTTCTTTCTCTGACATTAATTACAAAATGAAGAGCAATCTCACTCGGTATTAGTGGAAAATCATCTTTTTTAATGTGTATATTGTCACTTTTTAGCTGTGTGAGTGTGCTGTACAACGACTGAAGTCCCTGCCCAGGCATTGCTGTGCTGGAGCCTATGGAAACAGACAACTAGAAAGAGTTTTCCCTGCAGCGAGCTGATTTCTTTTGAAAGCAGAGCTTAAGTCCTGCTACCATCATTCAAAATTGCACGAGCACGGTATATATTTTAAGGGCAGAACCGATCTCTATTTTTACATCTGTCCTTAGGAGAGAAATATGTATCGTGGCGTGCGAGCTGGGTGCGTTTCGCGTTGTGAAATAATTGAACAGCAAGAGAAAGGCGGCCACCTGAGATCACGTTTTCCCTTCCAGACTCCTTGAAAATGGGTAACGGGCTAAATTTGAAGCCCGCTGTAAACCTTCAACTTCCAAAGCACCGGTTTCTGGTGGTTTTCAGCCAAAATTTGAAGGCGATGTGGATGCTCCCATCACTGCGAGGTTTCTGCCTCCCCCTGGGATCGGGGGGTAGATGCGTTTTCAGAGGAACCTCAACTTTCGCCTTGCACAAACCAAACCTTCCCGGGGATGATTTCTTTTCATTTGTTATTGATGACCTTTTCATCTGCCTTCCTGGCTCCGCTTCAATTTGCTGCTCGTGGGCTGTCAGAGCATCAATAATTTGCCAGGAAAGAAAAAAAAAACAAACAAACAATGCAAGCCGAGCTAGATCACTGCATATATTTTTAAATGATATCATTGCCGTAGCAGTTTTGTAGCTATGCTTGGAATGACACATTCATTATAACCCCCCCTATTTACTGTTGTGCACCAAAATTAGTTTGGGGCATGAATTTTCCCTTGTCTAGCTCCAGCCTGGAGAAATGAATTATGTTCAATTGGAAGCGACAAAGAAATGGCTGTATCCTGAAGTGAAGAAAGCAGCTCCGTATATAGAAACAAAATTAAGGGCTTTTTTCTTTTTTTTTTCGGATGACATTGAAAGAACAAGTTTACTTTTTAATTTCGAGCTGGACGTACGTTAAGCTTTGAGTGAAGACCGTCGTAATTATTCTTGCAGGTGTTAATCAGGATGCCACTGGGATCCGTCCAAGCGGGTATTAACGAGCTGTCCTTCTCCCGCGGGGGCCAAAGTGCAACGTTCCCTCCTCGTTCGGCCCAACGCTGTCATTTTCAATAATTACCTTTGGGCAATTAGAAAATAGCAGGCTGAGCACGAAAAGCTAATTACGGCCGGAGACCAGGAGTCTGATTTCGTAGGGCTGGAAACAAAAAGCGCCTTGCTCCCAAGGACCCGAGCGAGGTCTCCTCCTCGGGGCGGCTGTTGAGGACTGAGATTTTTCTGCTGAAGCCAAAACGTCATCGCCAGGGGCTCCAGGACGTGTTCAGCCCTCGTCTTGAAGGCAAAACCTTATTTTTTTTTTAATTTAGGTAGTTGTTCCGCCTACCTTTTGCTTTCCAGATCAGTCGAGCAAAGGATAGAAATTGATTCAAACAACGGGAGCTTCGTAAAGTCGAAAAGCTCCTCGAGCTTTTGTTCTGGTGGAATAATAGCTAGGGAGCCCAGGTCCTTCCCACGGAGAAAATTCCACTTTTTCCCTCTTTTTCACCCTTTTTCACCCCTCTGCTGAGCACGTGCTGTCCGTGAGCCCTTGGTGCCTCGTGTCTTGGTGCGAGTGGCCACGTGGGGTCTTCCATATCACCTACACCTTTGAAGGACACATCTAGAGGGCTTCTCTAGGAGATGCCCACGAGCAGAGGTCACTCAGGACCTATCCTGGTGGCCTCACAAAGAGGAAACACGTCCTTAACGTGACCCTTTTCATTCTCCTTTGCTGCAGGAAACGTGCGACCCACAGCGCCAGCAAGCGGAAGGGCAGCCAGAAGGACCTGAGGCCCCCGGATCTGTGGATCCACCACGAGGAGATGGAGATGAAGAACATGGAGAAGCCGACGGGCTCCGACCCCGCGGGGAGGGACTCGCCCATGCAGAGCTGCCAGGACATCACCCCCGTCAGCCACAGCCAGTCCGAAACGCAGCTGGGCACCAAGAGCACCCCGCAACCCGGTGAGGAGCACCCACACGAATACACTGATTTTCACTCCCTTTCTAGATTTGGGGCATTTCCATTCCACATATTCCCATTTTTTTTCTCCCTTTCTGGCGCTATAAATCATTTCACTGTTGCTTTAGTAGCTGAGGATGCTTTTTGTAAGGAATCAAACAACGAGAAACCTGATGGAGGCTGTGAAAAATTCTTTTCACGGATGATGTTTGCGTAAAACCCGTCTTTTTTATATATTCTACACTTTTTCTTTTTTTTTAAATCCTGAAACTCAACTGGAAGCCAGCTGTAGTTCAGCTAATCACATTTCTTCCGCCGTAATAAATAGGAAGGCTGGGGAGAGGCAGGTGGTGCGTACAGGCAGGGGCGGAGGGCAAAGCACGGGAAGTTGGAAAACATCAACGTATTTCTCCTGAGTTCACCGTGAACACATCGCTCGTGGGCGACGGAGCGCAATAATGCCACGGGATCTGTTGGGGCTGGAAATAATGAAGGTGACTTTTTCAGCTGCTTCTGACGTTTTTCTCTTTTTTTTCTAGTCTGGAAAGGAAGGAAAAGTTTAAAAAAAAAAAAAAAGAGTTTTCATGTTGCTTAATGGACCTAATTATTATTATTATTTTTTGTTGACATTCTGCTCAGGGCTGATAGCTTTGTGTTTATCAAGCTAATTGGGACGATGATTTGTATTGTTCTGAATGTAGAGGGCCTTGTTATGTCAAACGCTGTGAAAAACATAACCAGAAGTTTCTCTCTGCCTAGCCAGACGCTGCTGTTGATCAGGAGACCTGATCCAAGGCCCTGAAAGATCAATTTGAGAGCACCGTTGACTTAAAATCGAGTGGTAGGAAGTCAGCACGGCGTATGAGCAAGTTAATGACAAAGGCCAGGCGAGATATTTTACGTGTGAACACCTTGGACCATAAATAAATGCTTTTATTTCGCTTCTCAAAGTGTACCACACAGCTCAGCAATGCAGTCCCTGGCTTTTCACTAGCAATTAGGTCCCCTAATGGCCATGGAGAGCAGATTCAGCATTGCAGGCCTTGAAATTTAGTGAAAAGTCATCAGGGAAAAAAAAATAATAATCTTTTTGTGCAGATCTTTTTTGTGTTTGTTTGTTTCTTTGTAGACGGGATGTGTTTTTACTTGGGAACATCAGCAGCGAGTAGTCGGAGCGGGTATTAAGCTTCCCGGCGTGACAGTAATAAATGGATTTCGCCCATGGTTTATTAAAATTGCAAAAGTGGAATCAGAGAATCACAGAACATTAAGTAACATTAATATGAGGCTCGTGTGAGACAAGGTAGGAAGTGAGGAACGCGGCTTTTATTTCGCTGCAAATTACTCCTCCGAACACCCAGCTCCCAGCGCATTTTCCTCCTGACAAGTATATTCTCCAGAATCGCTGGGCGCCTCGAGTAGCCCGTATTAATGTGACTAAATTAGAGCATCCATATTTCAACACGTCAACAGAGTGTCTGAGTGACACGGGCACGCCGAGCCGCCTCGGAATTAGATGAGACGGAGGCAGAGGTGCCCCACGAGGCAGCGCGTCTCAGCTCGCCGAGCGAGATGGATGCGCTTGCTGCTCCTGGATCACAGGCACAATATTCACCTCGTTTGCCCCGACAGCTCCGTGTCATCGTCGCCTGGACTCCAGCAACCATGGCAAGGAAAAGCTTTGCTTGGATCTTGCTGTGGTAGGAGAAATCGAGAGGCTGGAAGAGCCACCACACGTCCCGGGGTCTGGAGTATGGGCAATCGGCACCTGGGGCTCGGTGGCACGTCACAGCAGACGTCGTTTTCATCCTTTAGATGTGTTTCAAGGACCATTTTGTTGCTTTCTGGATTTGTACATCCCTGATTTATCGTATCCTACTTCTCTATTTCAGATCTTGAGACTTGAATTTGAAGCTAAGGTTGTAACAGTGCAGTTGCAAGAAAAATGCCATTTTTTAAATTTTTTATTTTTTTTTTATGATGTGATCGTGGATAATTTCCAAAGCAAAAGAAAATGAAATCGTGGAGGGGCTGGGAAAGGAGAAACGATATCTCAATTCTTTGACAGCAAACTGCAACCAACAATTTCATTCGGAAAAAGGCAGCCCAAATACTCCGCGTGGCTCTTTGCAGGTGGCGATATTCAACGATCAGCTGAAATAACAGAATCCTAAAAAAAACCATCCAGTGATCTCACTGCTGGGAAGGAGGTGAAGACAAATTTGTCAGATTTTCAACTAAGTTCTTGTGTTTTTTTTTCCCCAGCTGCTGAGACAGAAGACGTTGGCAGCAGCATGTCCACCTTAGAGCGCTCGCTCGCCGCCCGCAGAGCCACCCGTGCCAAGCTCATGATCCCGATGGATTCCCAACCCACCAACCCCCGTGAGTACCAACACCATCCCCTCACCCTTTTCCTCATATTCGTGGCCCTGCTCACCCATCTGAACATCTCCTGTTGGCTATGATCTAGCTACACCTCGCAAGTAAAATGGCAGCGACCACGTTGCCTCCATCTCCAAAAATAAAAATCCTGCAAGCGCTTCACAAAGCATCAGTGGCAAAACTCTGGGGGAAAGGCAGAAATCGGGCATCTGCTCGACTCAGCGCTGGCTAAGCCTGAAGAATCCTTGTTTCTATTTTTACCGGGTGGCTAGCGGTGGATAAATCCCTCTGCCTGCCTTGAAAAGAAATAGGAGCAAGAGTTCAAGCTGGCAGAGCAGAAGGCTTTGCAATGCACCGATGCAAAGTGTGATATTATTATCCGTCCTTTGAAGCAGCTGGACATTAGCACAGTTGCTCTGATATTTCCTTTTGTCTGTCGGAGTTGGCCACAACACCGTATGCTTTTTCTCACTCTCTCATAAAGCAGAATTTTTAACAGGCATTAACTTTTGGTGACCGCGGCACTGAATGAACATCAGAGATAAAATTAATTTTTTTTTCAAAGCAACAAAGTACATGAGAGAGGCAGGAAGGCTGGAGAGCACCAGAAAGCTTGTCCATGCAGAACTTATTAAAATTTCCAAAGTGAAGTTTTTGCTTTACTTCTCTGGTGGCCGAAATCTCCCAGGTTTTAGCTAGAAGTTCTACCTTTGACCTCCGAAAATCCATCCAAATAAAAATATCTGGAAATTGGCGTTTCTGGGTTAATAACTGGAGCTGGGAAAAATGAAAACGCGTCGCCAGAAATCCATTTAATCACAAAATTTCTTTGTAGCTCCGATGGTTAAACGTAAATGCCTTTAATTTGTGTTCCTTATGGGTGTGATTCGGGTCACGCTGCTAAACCTGGGCCTTGCAGGGATAAATCATAGGGGTCTGGGGAGAGATTGAATTCACTGCTTCACACCTTGGACATGACTTATTGCCAAACGGCAGCCTCTTTGGGGGGTGGAAAAAGGACTGCTGGGCTGGGGGAGATGGCTCAGACCCCCCTGGGAAATATTCCCATCTTGTAAGCAGCCTAATTCCACAATTAGGCAATTTTCCCTATGCAGGGACAAACACCAAAGCTGGCGTGTGGAGAGGAAGAACATCAGGGGTGAGGAGGTCTCGGGGCTTCCCACCATCAGTCCTGCCCTCCCCTGATGTTTAATTAAGCCCTGGCAGCGCATCGCTCTGCCGTGTTTGGGGAGAGGATTCTCTTTCCCTCCCTCCCTAAAACTGGAATTGTTTAGCTAGGCGAAACTTTAACTGAGAGCTTCCAAATTTTTCTGAAAAAGCTGTGAAGAAATTTATTACTCACGTGGCATTATTATTCCTTGTTCTTCAAGCCCTGACTGTTGAAAATAAAGGCAATAACTCACCCAGAAAGGCTGGATTCAGCACGCCTATTTCCCTGCTGACCCACTCTGGAGGTTTTTGCTGTTCTGAAAGCACTCGTTTAATCTTCTTTCTTTTTCCCTTTCAGCTGTGGTCAGTGCCATCCCTGTGCCCACCCTGGAAAGCGCCCAGTACCCCGGGATCCTGCCGTCCCCCACCTGCGGATACCCACACCCCCAATTCACCCTGCGGCCGGTGCCTTTCCCCACCCTGGCTGTGGACAGGACCTTTGGAGCAGGAAGGAGTGAGTTCATTTTGCTTCGTTATCACGCTGCTCGGACATAGGTTCCTCTCTGGGTAGGATGGGTGAGGTCTAGGCAACGCAAATCCCACTGCTTCCCTTTTTGGGTTCATCGGGATAATCTGTGGGCTGCCTCTTGTATAGCAGCAGCTCCTGTTGCGACTTAAAATCTGTGCTGAGCTCCAACTCCCCTTAAAATTAAACATCTCTGATCCAACCCTGTCCTCTCTGCAGGCCTGTTTCACTCTATTTTAATTGCCTTTGCTTTATTCATAACGCTATTCCCAGGCAAACTGAGGCTTCAAGAGCTCTTCTCCATCCCAGGGCAGAGCCGGTAGCACCGTGCATTAAAATCCTCCCCAGCAGCACTTACACGACCTCTCCACACAGTGTCTTCCCAGGCTTAGCTGCCCTCGCTGCCAGAAACGTTTTCCTAATGTCTAACATCCTAAAACGTAAGGCAGCTGGTTTTTATTTGGATCCTAGCTGGAATAGGGGAAAAAAAAAATAATTTTCGTCCTTTTGCAGCTACCTTTTATGCATTTCAATGCTGTTATCTCGCCTGACATCACTCGTCTCTTCCCTAGACTGAGCTGCATATTCAGATTTCCTCCTGTTCGTTCACATCCTGCCCCCGTGCAGGAATAGATTTGGGGCTTGGGTGTTCCCACATCCCCTTAGCGTGGTCTGGGACCCAGCCTCACCTCCACCAGCTCCTCGCAAGCCTCTCCCGCGAGCGGCAGCCAGCTGGTCTTTGTTCCAGCCTCGGCGGCGTGCTCCGGCATACTAATTACAGCTGGAGGGCTCCTGTTCCCTACTAATTCTCCCTCACCTCCACTGCATACCGAGCCCAAATTATTGACAGATTAATGTCAATCTGCCACGCGTCTTCTTTCGCATCGCAGAGAGTCCGCGCTGCCCCTCCGCGGGGAATTAATTTTGAAAGGACTGGTTCAGACAGGTCCTCGGGGACCGATGATTGAAATCCTCGGATTGTAGGTAAAAGGTGGGTTCAGGTGTCCTGCTCATCACCCCAACGTCATTCCCCCTCTCTTCAATGTGCTTGCTGAGATCCCTTCAAAGCCTGTTGGTAATTTCCTCGGGAGGGCCTCACTGCTGTAATCAGGTCTTGATTTGCTGCTTAAATCAGCACCAAATCCTCCAGAAACGTAGAACAGAAACAAAGCAGATTCAGTTTCTTGCATGATATACATTAGACATTGAAAAAAAAAAAAATAGCTACCCGTTGCTTGCCTAATCATGGAGATGGAAGAAAAAAAAAAAAAAGGAAAAAAAATAAATTTGCACAGCCCCAAAGCCACAGCTTCTCCCTGAGCCAGCCAGGAGCTTCACACGTCTAAATGAGGATTTTTCAAACCAGGAATGGCCGAAATCCTGCCTGTTCTGCACGGACACGCATAGGTTTGCCCAAGTCTTTGAGGTGCAGCGTGCCTGGGAGTCGAACAAAAGGTTGCTAATGCACAAAAGTTCAGGCAATTTCCCATTAAATAATTCAAAACACCATCGCCTTGTTTGGCTAATGGCTGGTTTCAGCTGATCGAGGTCTGGGTAATCAGGCCTGCGTGGTATTTTGAACATTATCAAAGCCCATTAAATGTAAAATGACAATCTGTTATAGCTGTTGCGGTCGTCCTGCTAGCAAAGGCCATTGACTTCCAGAGCTCTCCAATCACAGTGAGTGCCCCCAAATGAAATATCCTCTTCCCTCGCTATGCCTTACACCACGGCACAGCCGTGAAGCAGAGGCACAGACGAGGACGTGGAAATCATGTTTGTTTTCCAGTGATTTCCAGGGGTTTTGGGGGAGAAAATCGCGGTGAAAGAGACTTTTCCATATATTTTCAGTGAGCTTTTTCATCTATTTTACCCCTCGGTGAAAAACTCCCTCGATGGTTGACCAATTGCATCTGTGTCAGAAAAAACAACAAAAAAAACCACACAAAACACACAAAACCCTCTGCAATAATTCCCTGCCTGTGGTCCTCCATGGCCGAGCACCCTATTGATCAAGACGTAGCGCTTGCTGAATAAATCATGTGCAAGGCCATTAGCAGGGGCGTTGCTTTGCATCCTGCCATGCTTGAACACCCTTTTCGGAAGGCTTTTCTCTGGTTTTGAAGGCTTCATCTCGTTGACCTGAAGATGCAAGTGCCGCGACTTATCTTCAGGATAAATTTTCTGCTGAAAAGGAAAGTAAATAAAACAAAAAGGAGAGTCAGGCCCCAGCCAGAGCCAGCCTTGAGTAATAGCTGGCAAAAAGTCTTCTCGAGCATGAAACACCCTCATTAGACCGCTTACCTTCAATATTTAAGACCCAGCTCTAGCCTCTGATTTTAATAGAGTCGTCTCACCTCAGTCTTCAGTAATAGCTAGAGAATAGCACGAAATTTTTGTGCCGCAGGTTATGTAGGTCTCCAGATTTTACAGCTGAAATCTGTAGGATAAAATATACCCAGACATTAAGCGGGATATACACCGGGATAAATACCCAAGGAGGGTATTTGGTGGTGAGTAGCAGGAAGCATCTATTTTCCCTCGTCTCTTCAAGCAGGTCAAGAGCTTCCCCAAAGATCCGTTCTTAAAGGCTGCGGTGAACAGTGCTGGGCTCCACGGGGTAGCTCAGGCTTTGCCAAACATCTGGAAGGACATTTTGAGGCTACGAACCACGACAAAAGGCTTTGTTTTCACTTTAGGCAAAGGATTTGCTCCAGAAAGTGTTGGGAGCTGGGATGGCTACCTCTGTGAGTCTCACTTGCATCTTCCTTGAGTGGGAGAAGGGAGAGAAGAGCATAACAGGCCATGGTAGCCTCAGCACCAGGACGTTTTGGCGTCTTCTTGAAGGTGTGGGCAGTGAGCAAGGGTGGAACGGGTTAAACCGACATTCCTGCCCTGCCCTGCCGCAAGTTATCCCTAAATCTCTGGCTGCTTTCTGGGGAATGTTTGCCCTCCGAGAAGAAAACAGGAGAGAGGTCTGGCGGGCAAGGAAGGAAAGCGAAGCAGAGCTAGGTAATGGCTTCATTATGCAAAAAGCCTTGAAGGTGGAAAGCAGGAAAATGAACCACCGTCGGCCAAAGTTTCACAAAGTGCAGATGATTTTGACCTTGGTCTGATCCTGCAATTGGTTTCCTTTCCGTGGGGTTCGATATCGCCGGGGCTGTCGGCACGATTGCCATAGGAACAGGCAGTAGGGCCGGGGAAAAAAAGAGGAAAAATCCTCATTTTCATTTTTCAAAACCGTTTTGCCACTTAGTAGGTAGTAATTACTTATATACTTTGACATTAATTATTATAAAAACGCCTTGAGATTTGACTCGGCTGTGTAATTGCGTGTTATTTACACAACGAGTCCTGGTTGTTGCAGCAGGCTCTGAACGAACCCCGATCCTCCGGAGTATTTCGGGTCCCGGTGTAACAACTAATTCCGCTATCTGCGAGTCGAGAAGGTTGTTTTCGTCGAGAAAAGGTTGAGCTTTTCTTAGCTTCCCGTTTCCTGACACAAGCTGCAGGATTAAGCGGGGTGCCGTGAGCCACCCAGGCTGGCGCAGGTACTGCGGAGACGTCGGACAAAGCCAACACGTCCAAATTCAACACGGTCCTGGTGCGATCGTGCTCTTCACTAAACAATTTGTTCCCTTCCCGTTCTGCTCGTAAATAATGGCAGGGCTTGCAGACGCTCTTGCCAAGAGGAAACATTTTTTTCAATCCTTCTCCTTGGGGTACACGAAGGAGAGTGGGGGAAGAGCTCGGGAAGGGTCCGAAAAAGAGAAAATGAGAAAAGTTGAGGCTGAAAGCCTCTTTTCAGACCCTCATCGGGAGGCTGGGCTTGATATTAGAAGGTCGACAGGGCACATTGAAACCCCTGAAGAATTGATTTTGAATATAGGCTAATAAAACAGCAACCTGGGGCTTTGGCACACTAAACATTACAGCTGTCTCAAGGAAAAAACAACGTTGGTTATGTGGAAATTAATTAAGTCCTTTCTTTGAGTCTGTCTTCCCTCCACTCTGACTGGAGCTGCTGAACGTAATGAGTCTCCACAGTCATAGCTTGTTTCCATCTCCACATGATAGATTTACGTCTTTATTGATTTTTAATATTTAAAAGCGCATGGAGAGGAAAGGGAGAAGGAGCTGAAAATACCACGCGTGTTGTTGGTTGTTTTTTTTTAAGGAAGATATATTTTGCTTTAAATGGCACCCGGCTGCTCTGAGGAACATCTGTTTTTTTAATTTAGCTGCCAATAACCCGTGATGAAAATGTTTACGCGTTTCTTGCCGCTTGGCGGAGGGCGGAGGGGCAACGCCGTGCCTTCTGCTGCAAATGACCATCAAAGTGGGAAACGCTACCTAAAAAATACTTCAATAACTGTTGTTTTTGTGTGTTTTTTTTTTTACCGATGCAGCTGTAAACGAAGGACCAGCCCCGCAGCAACCCTCCTTGCTACCACCGACGCAGCCCGAGCACTCCAGCAACGAGGACGCCCCCAGCAGGACCATCCCCACCGCCTGCGTGCGCCCCACGCACCCGCTCCGCAGCTTCGCCAACCCCTTGCTACCTCCGCCCATGAGTGCAATAGAACCGAAAGTCCCTTACACGCCACTTCTGTCTCAAACAGGTAAGGGGCTGGGCTCTGCTCCCACTCCGAACCACTTGCTTTCAATTCAGGACCGAAAAAAAAGCAGCACGAAGCTGTCCCATACCTGGAAAAAACGCTTACAGGATGGAAAATTAATATATACACGTTTTTTAGGATAATAATCCAATAACTCATTCTGACGATCTGGAATAAAAATTCAGGCCGAGGCAATAGCTCAAAATCAGAGCTAACAAGCAAGTGATAAAAATGAATTAAATGAGATGCCAGATTAATCATTCGGTCTTGTTTCCAGTCTCCTGTTGTGCTACAGTGACTTGAACCAATGCCAACTGCTTGAGCTGTTCCGAGGCTCGCCTTTTTTGATAATGAAAAGGACTCTTTATGTATGCTGGGAAGGGACTGACTGCAATCCTCTCCAGCGTGCGAACCACTCAAAAATTAAAAAAAAAAAAAAAAAAAAAAAAAAAAAAACCACAAGCATGGAAGGAAGAGAAAGAGAATTATAATAATAATAATAATAAATAAATAAATAAATAAGAAGCTACTAAAATATTGCCACTTTTGAGTGAAGTTTAGGAAAATAAAAAAAAATAAATAAATAAAAATAAAGGATTTTCAGACTGGCATCTCATTTTAACTGTTTACCCTCCTCCTTTACCTTGGATGATCTCCAGTTTGGCTCAGACGACCTCTGAGATTTCAGGTAAAAAAAAGATAAATATGGGGCTTGTTACTAATTTTCACAGAGCCCTGTCATCCTGAAAAAGAAAATTGCCTTGGTTTAGGTCAGTAATCACACGTAAGCAGATGCAGGACTTTGTTATTAGGCAAAATTAAGCGCTGAACGTGGCGACGCTTTGCCAGAAAGCCATGAAAAATAAGTAGAGCAAATGCTAAAGCAGTGAAATATTCTTTTGTGCTGGCCTCCGTCATGCAGATGAAAACAAGTTACTGGGTTATATATGGCATACAGACTATGGTATTCACTGTTAGATTAAAATCACAATTTCTAGCGTTTAGATTTGTGTATAACTTTATTTCTGCTCTCCCCCCGGCTATTTTGTGGTGTCGGGGGCTATGTATTTTTCTCTCTGTATGGCTTCTCTTGCTTTTCCCAATGTGCTTGTCCTCATAATCATTAGCCAGACTGATGTTGGCTCCTGTAGCAACTCTTTTTAGAAAAGTTTGGTGAATGTTGGCTTCTGTTGGTGCCCCTGGGGTGTGCAGAAGCGATGCTGGTCCTCACTCACAACTGGATTGCTCCATCGGTACCCACTCCTGAATCCCACTGCTCTCAAACTCTTGCTTCTTTTCGCTTAAAATGGGAGATCAGCCACCTTTTAAATTCAGCCGGACAACTGAAAGGAAGTGAAGAGAGAAAGCATTAAAAAAAAGACGTCAAAAAACAAGGTTTCATTTCACATTCTGTGTATTTGATGCTTCCATTAGCAATTAGGAATTTAGGAATAGCTCTTCCTTTCTCAATCTGATAGAATTAATTACGTTCTCCCTACGTTTTTCTTGGCCTCGAGATGTTTTAACACGTCCTGTGTCATGAAGCAGTCGGGCCATAAGGAATGGATTCATCATGACTTAAATTTATTGTGCTACTCTTTGCTTTGCTGTCCTATTTTTTAAATAAGTGCCAGTCAGGTGTCGTAGCCCTTCAGACAATACAGAACGAATGGAACAAGAAGAAGGGGAAAAAGCAAGAGAGGACTGCAGAGATTTCCAGCAAAGACTTCAAAAAGCAGGAACCTGAAGTTAAGAGGACCTTTGTCCATCAGCCATGGTGATTTTGGGTTTTGGAAGCATAAGGCACGAATTTTTGACAGCTGTTGACTGACAAGGTTGAGGGAGGGATATTCAGACGACAGCCCTCGAGCTGGTATCTATCACCAGTCCAATATTAGAGTTGAAATTAGGTTTTGGATCTGGCCCAGGGAATAGATGAGCTCTTTCTTGGCTTTGATTGACCTGCTGCTAAAAGGGGGTATCGCCTCCGATATTTTATCTGTTCAGTATCTCTCTGTATAATTAGCTGCTAAACTATATCATCTGGTTCATAAAAAAAGACATACAGGCATCATTATTCAGTTCTGGGGGATTTGGCCACGAGGGTAGGAATAAATATTAAAAAGGCCGTGCTCCCGGTGTTGGGTCATGGCTTTAGCAAAATCTGAAGCTAAAGTTTGCCATTTTTCTTCCTTTTTTCCCCCTAAATTTCTACTTGATCCCCATCAATCTGAACTCTTTGCATTAAGCCCTTCCTATTGATATTTTATAGGAGATCTCACCTTTTCGTCACGGCTTGGTGAGCAGGCACTCGAGGTTCCTAACACTTATTCGGAAGGCGTGAGACTACGTCCGTGATCTTTCCAATCCCCACTGAGGCTGCCCTCACTCCTCGCTGCTAATCATGTGCACAGCCATCGAAGGGATTTGACTCAGTCCCCTTTCAGGTTAAATAGAAAATATTTGATGGAGCGTCGAGCTCATTGCGTTATAGACACGACATAAATCCCACAAATGGACGGGAAAGATTTTTATTTTTTTTCCCCACTCACAAATGAAAATTCCTTTTAGGTCTTTCTGATCAGCTGCACTTTAAAAGCACCTGAATTAGGATGGCATTTTTTTTTCCGCAGAAGCAAGTGATGGAAAACGCTGCCTCCGAAGTGGTGGTTTTGCTATGGTGTCACCGTGCTGTAACTTCGACCTTTTCAAGCTCCTTTGCCTTTTGTGAGACTATAAAAGTGCTATTTTTTTTTTTCTATTGCTACTTCACGAAAAAAAAAAATGCGTAGCTGGAAATCCAAATTCTCATCTTATCACTTTATCTTTGCCTCCTTGGGAAAAAAAATAAATAAATATCCGAGATTATGCACTCTCCAGCACACTGTACAGTAAACACAGCCTATAGATTCATGGAAAATATGGGAATGACTAATTCCTGCACGTTTTATTCTGAAATCTCAGTGCTTTTTTGTACTCTCAACTTCCAGATTCAAAAGCAAATCACTCTTTTATTCCTTCAGCCTTTACCTCCCACCCCTTCGATTCTCGAATGCTTTGTCCTCCGTGTTGTTTTCCACGAAAACAAGCTCTCTCCATTCAAGTGACAAAGAAGTGTCATAAAAGGGTCAGCCCTGTCTATTAGAGGAACCTGGCCCCGGTGCAGGGAAGTTTAATTAGCCCAGGGATAACTCCAGGCACCGGAGTTGTCTCATTAAAATTGACAGGGCAACTGGAAGGTGTAAAGTGAAGTCAGGATGGAGGTGCTGGTCTGGGTAAGCAAAGTAATTCCCCTTTGGTAAAAATGTCCCATTTCAATGGAACACAGCGCTGAATTCCCTAAAAAAAAATAAAAAATATATAAAAAAAATAATCTAAATCCCGAAAAAATACTTCTTCCAGCCAATGAGTCTGTTTTGCCCTAGCAGTTATTTATCCCATGTATTATTTCTAGCAAATAAATTAAAAAAAAAAACAACCACGAAGAGCATTTGAGAAGACAAAAGAGCGTTATACCAAATCCCTGCCGTGTTTCCACGTATCTGAGCAGCCTGTGGTGGTTTTGTCTTGAAATGCCCTTTCCACAATCACAGTTTATGGACCTGTTTTGAAGGCCTGGCACGTAAAAAGGTGTGAAATTCATCAGTGCTACTTCAAAAACCTCCCCAGTAGGCAGTCCCAGTACTTGGTACTGTATTTTTGCGAGTGATTAAATGACTCCTTTCTCTTTCTGTGTTTTATTTCCCCTTTCGCTTTATTTCTCCTACTCTCAAAGATTCCTAAATTAAACTTTGTCTCTTTTTAGAACAATTTCCCTCGCGGAATGAGCCGAGCCTCTATTGATTATCACCTCAAAAGTCATTTGCAGAAACTCAATTTCGTGATGAAAAATATTTTTTTTTTCCCCGGCTATAATGTAAAACAGCAAAGGCTTCATATTTTTCCTACGGTTACGTACTCTGTTCTCCTGAGAGGCGCCGTGTTACTTAAATGGGAGCTCTCTGTCACGGAGAAACAAGCAAGCCCTGCTATACATGTTGGTCTCATCTTTCTGTTTCAACTTCTAAGTCATTTAAACTGACACTTTTTTACAGGTGGAAAGGTGCCGGTTAGAAAAAAACGCGGTAAAGGTTTGAGATGTGGGAGCAAGAAAAGATTTTCCTTATTTAATTACATGTCTGACCTCACCTCCTGACTTCTGATTTTTGACTTTTATGGTCCCGTTGTACAGGACACATCTTGGCACTCTTCATTCTCCAAAAACCCTCAGTTTTTACGAAATTAAAGTTATATCTGCACCCCAATATATACCCAGGATGGACAACAGCAGGGTAGAAAAAGACTATAACAGGATTTGGAGGCTTTGCAAAAGGTCTTTAAGCCATTTGTTGAATAGCCCCAGAAATGCCTAAAAAGTGGCTCCTCCTTATAAATAAAAATGTGAGCAGGAGCAGAGAGTTTAGGCAGAGAGTTCAGGTGTGCTGGCCGAGAGAGAAACAAAGGCTGGCTGTGATCAAGGGCTGAAAAAGAGATTTTCGTCTCTCCTTTCCTTTTGGCCACTTTGAAATCCCTGTTGTCGTGCTGGCGGCTGATAAGAGTTTTGGCATTTGGGATGGAAGCCTCACGAGGACAAAGGGCGTTAAGGATTGACAGGAGTGCAGAGCCACACAAAAAGGGGTGAGTTTGCAGAGAATTATTGCCGTGAGATACCAAAAGAAATCTCTGCTACGCTCCGTTTTCAGCTGCCTCTGTAGACCAAGTGATCTTCAGCTGCAGATCTCCAGATCTTAGCCAAATACCTTGCCTGACCCAAAACACTGTTTGCTTTGCTGAAGAACCTACAGCAATAAAAACAACCCGTTTTAGTGATGGACGATCATCTCCACGAGGAACACATCGGCACGGTGAGCTTGATCCAAATCTCTTCTCTCATACCTCTGAAGATCACAGTTGGTTTCTCCGAGGCACTTGCAAGCTTGTGTTGAGAGCTGTGCAGGCTTTTCCCTCATTTCTTGCGATCAGAGCCAGCAGAATTTGCAGCAAAGCTTCCCATTCTTCTCTTTCAGCGAGATGACTCATTCTCAGATAATTTTAGACTCCTAATGAATGGGTGGCTGCTCCGTGCCAGCCTTGGAAGCTCACTGTGCAGCCAAAAAAGAGCGAGAGGATCTTCTGAAAGGCAATTCATCCAGGCCCCTTGCTGGGGAAGGTCACCAGAGCAGAAGCTTGGCAGAAAGGTCTGTGCAGTTCTCCTCGTGTTATTACAGCTCCAGCTGTATTTCTGACCTTCTATAGTAATAGATATCATAATCACACGCCCATTTTATGTACCAAAACTATGTTTTGGTACATAAAATATACATAAAACGCATAAACAAGTTTTTCTCCTAAATGAAGATCTTGAGGAACCTCACCAGTAGTCACCTTGAACTCCATCATCTTGAGGAACTCCACCAGCACTCATCTTTAACTCCAACCCTTTTCCATTATGCCCAATTTCTTGCCATTTCTCCATAAAGTAGCTCCTTTCGAGTTCTGCATTCATCTTCATTTTCTTAACCTCTCATTGAGGGAACGCCAAGCAACCCTCCCGAGGTATCGCTATCAAGAGGATGGATGCTCTCTTGGGATTATTTCATGTCCATCGTCATACCTCTTGGCCTGATGTGCACAAATAAATAGGTTTAGCAAACCACCTCTTTTGGGCTGACTCTTCTAATCATGAATTAGAAACACTGCTGTAAAACACTTGCTGGAGAACTTGAACTACCCGGCTCTGCACAAGGCAAATCGTCTCTGCGTCATTTTAGTGACAAACATCACGATTCACCTGTTGCTTTTGCGAGCTAAAGGGCAAAGAGACGCCCAAACCGAACGCATTCATCATTCTTACGGCTTCTCATTAGCAAGATCCAGGAGAGAACATCTGCCTTTGTGCAGAAAAAGAGGGTCTTTAAGCCCAATTACTGCAAATAACGAGTCGCAGATGAGAAACGTGGCTTTTACCCTGCTTACTCGGAGATAGAGAAGTTTGAAGGGCCAGCTATTACGTGTTTTTATTTTTTATTATTTTTTTTAGCGATTAAACTGGAGCTGGAAGAGGTGAGTGTATCTCGGTGGTGATCTCTTTTAGCTCATATTAAGCTTTCACACTTTCCTAGCTCCAGCTAGGAAATGATCGGAGATTCTCAGCCTGAAAGAAATGGTTTGTGAGTCCCTCCGTGCTCCTGCCCTTGTTTGTTGGGGCTCTCTCTTCATGAACATGCCGCCGGCAGCTCGATTTAGGGAGGCATTTGGCCCTCTCTTCTGCTCCACGGTGCTTTGGCTGCCTTAAACTAATTAAGAAAAGCACAATTATTTGAAACAGAGGCAGATTAATCTGCAGCTCTTGTCTCCTGGCTACTCACTTGGGCTGGAAGGAGCAGAAGGCTGTCACGGCCGCGGTGATTTGTTGGGATCTGGGGAGCCTCCACCTGCTGGGGGAATTCTCCAGGTAGCTCCAGTCCTGGCTCAGAAGCTTTGCTTTAATGACCTGTTAATGATCTATAAGAAAACAGAGATCATCAGGCAGGAGGAAGGGAAAACGAAACGGTTTTTTTAATTTGGGATTGATGGGAAGGTTTTTCGGTGTTGTACGGCGGCTGGGTGCACAGACAGGGCGCAGAGCCAGCTGATCTGGCCACAGCAAGAGAAAAATGGCAATATTTCGTAAATAAAATAAGGAAATATTCAATTACAAACAGAATACAACAGAAAAAGGGCAAAGAAATAGAATACAATAGAAAAAGGACAGGGAACTGGCTGAAGATCACGGTGGAGGAGATATTAAGAAAAAAGCTGTCATATTAGGGTTTGTTATTTATGATTTTTTTGTTCCTTCTTTTAAGCCGTAACTTTAGGAGGAGCAGGCATGCTTGAAATGTCCCCATATTCAGCCTTAAATCCACGATGCGTTGTTTGAATACCCCATCTCACTTGGGTTTTGCAAGGTGACTTGAAGAATCCCTTCCCGTCAGTAAAAAAATCTCTTTTGATTTTGCTTTTTCTCCTCCCGAGCTGGAATAAAAAGTCAGAAATAAACTTTTTTATCAGAGAGATGAACTACATTTTTTTTCAGGCTTGCTCCATGACCTGCCTGGAGGCCAGCGCTTGCCCCAAGGGATTTCAAAGCAAAAATTGTTCCCTTTTTCATAGCGATATCTTCTTAACATGCCTTTTTTTTTTCCTCCCTTCAGGGCCTAACCTTCCCAAGGCTCAGGTTAAAACAGCATCCCTCGGCTTGGCAGGGAAAGCGAGGTCCCCCCTGCTGCCCGTCTCGGTACCCACGGCCCCGGAGGTTTCGGAGGAGGGCCACAAGCAGACGGAAGACTCCTCAAACGTAAGCAGCACCTTGGAGAGCCAGCCTGATGGCCAAGCTCATCGCCATCCAGCCGTGTTCCCTAATCCCCTATCCACACGTTAATTTTTCACTAATAGTGAAAAATTCACCTCGGGCAGCAGGCTGCGGCTGAGAGCTATTAGGAGGGCTGTAAAAAGTTGTGGCGAGCCAGTAAAACTTTTTTTCGGGGACTTTAATGGACTTTGGAGCGTGTGATAAAGGGGAGAAGTGCTTAAATTCCCTGCTAATAGCAGCCACGGGACAGCTCGCGCAGCCTCTCCTGAGCTGCTGGAGATAGGAGAGGGAAAGGGGGGGAGAACGGCGATAAGGGGAGGAAATAATTTTGGCAGGAAGAAGGAGGAGACAGTAATACCCGATAATGGTGAGAAAAAAAATAACCCCGAAGAAGCAGATAAGTGAAACGGAAAAGATGGGGAAATTAGAATCATCTTTTCGCTCCTATTAGGGCTCTCCGAGAGAAAGGTCTCGCCTGATCCAGGAGACGAAAGAGTGCAAAAAAAAAGGAATAAGGGGAAAAAAAAAAAAAAAAAAACAATATTCTAAATATATGTTGTGTATCGCTCCCGCTTATTTTTGTGTGTTTGCGCACCTGCAGGTTTACGAACAGGACGATCTGAGCGAACAGATGGCCAGTTTGGAGGGGCTGATGAAGCAGCTCAACGCTATCACGGGCTCAGCCTTCTAGGAGCTGGCGAGGGCCAGGTAACGACCCAGGAGCACTGCAGCATACCAGGATTTCACGCACACCACCCGCCTACATGACCCCATAACGTCGTCGCCTTCCTGGTTACCGCTCCTTCAGCGCCAGGAAGGTTCCTGCAAAGTCCTCGGAGGAAAGATAAAAAAGAAGAAGAAAAAAAAATAGTGATGGAAGTGTTACAGAACTGTAGAGCTGGCATCTCGAAGTGATGAACGCGTGGCAAGACGACCGAGGCCATCACCGCGGAGTCGCAGCTGATGCCGCTGGATCGCTCGTTTTCATCTCCTAGTCTTCGTAGAGCTCAAGTTGTCCTGACTAACTCCTGTTTTACTCCGTAGAGGTCCGTAGCTTTTTCCTATAGCTCTAGTCTTACCTCACGCCAGGCTGGTTTGAAGCGTAGCCCGTGCCATTAAGCAGGCAGCGTTGTAGGTCACTCGTCTGTTTTCCCTACGTAATTACTGACTACAGAAAGACCCCGCAGCAAACGACCACGCCACCACGCCAAAACCTCGGAGCTTTTCCCAACAGCACAAACGAGAAGGCAAAACGCTCGTTTATTTTGTCACTGCGGCCCCTCGTCTCGCACGAGCTGCTGTAAAAATGCAGCTATTTTAGCAAGCCTTTGGAAACCGACCGAGGAATTGGGAAGGTTTCCCCAAAACCACCTTTCCTGCTTCAGATGGGCTCCGGGAGCAAAGCAAGCGAGGAGCAGGCCACGGGGAAGTCTTCGGCGATCCCTTCTCCCTCTGGTCCCCGTGCTTCTCGGGCTGCTTATTGACAACGGGCTGAATTGAGTAAATTTTGTGTGCACACATTTGCTTGCTAAATTTTCGGCTGCATTCAGAGCTAATCCCTGTTTATGCAGCTGAATCACCAAAAGGGAGCCGATTTGCATATTTATCAGTTAGGAGGCTGCAAAACCCAATAAGAGAGTTTCAGATGAATTATTCCATTCAGCTCTGCCTTTGATTTCAAGCTTGAGTGGGTCATAATTTTAAAAGAGCATGGAAAGGATAGGATCTTTACAACCTAATAGCTCCTTTTATTAGGTGGGTAATTAAATGTGAATCTCCGAATAAAATATTTTGAGTAAAATGGCACTGCAACAGAAGTAATAATTCAGATTATTTTCTACGGCCCCGTGCTGTAAAGGAAAATCAGATGTCAAGGAGGCATTCGAATGCTTCATTAGGAACTCCAGTTGTGTTTGTGACAAAAAGCTCCTTAAAAACGCCTTGTTATTCAATTTGCTAAGATTTTAAGGAAATCTTTCTGGGGAGTACGGAAATCCCGTTCGTACGGGCAGCTGAGCTTTCCAGCTCTGAGATTTGTTGCCAAAAAGACTGGAGTGAAAAGAAACGGCACAAATCTTCCGGGCTGAAAAACCCAGCTCAGCTGTTAGGACCTACGAAACCACTACCTCCGTTTTTACTCAGAGGAAAGAGGGCTTAATGCAGCTTTTGAGTGGCTCCCCTTCGATATTTGCAGAGATTGACGTTGTCTGAAGTGGGAACGTGAGGCCGGATCTGACTCTCCCTGATCCTTTAGGAAATACCTGCTACCCTGGGCTTGCAGCGGGCTATCTGGGAGCAGAAACAGCCCCCGGGACTTAAATCATGGCACATTAATCCCCAAATTTGGTGTCTAACAATCCCGAACTGCCTGGTGAGCCACCAGCGGGTTTGCAAACCGGGTTTGGTTTGGTTTGGACACGACCTTTGTGGTGTCCAGGCGCTTTCTTTGAACGCTTTGGTATTGATCATCCTTTCTGTTTAGTTCATGCATCGGCACCAAAGCCCCTCAAAGTCTGCAGGTTGATCCGGAGCTGCTGACGGTTCGAAGCATATCAATTTCCAGACTTGGCCCGTTTAAATCAACAAACTCCATGCCAAAAGTGGTCTTCGTGTGCGCCACCCCTGGGAAGGGACAACCCGATCAGCTCAGCCCGAGCAAGGCTCAACAACTCCTCTCCCCTCATTTTTTTTTTAAATAAATGAGCAAGAAATTTCAAACTAAGTTCCGCATATCTCGGTAAAACTAAATTCTCCCATATACGAACATCAACTTTCAGAAATTGTGTTTTTCTTTGCCTGTTTCAGCAGAGCCCTTGACCTCCCCTGAGCTCCATGACCCTAAAGGTGGGTGGTAGCCATCCCAAGGAGCCTTGGAGATGGTCCCAAGCATTTTTGAAGATGATTTTTAGGATGATTTTCATAGGATGCCTAAGGGCTGAGAAGCTCATTAGCAAACAGCTCATCCTACATGTGAACTACGTTACTTGCAAGCCCCAAATGAGTGTTTTAACACAAAACTCTTGCATTATATTTTGCTGATGCTCTGTTTATTTGCAGTGAGCTCGGCTTTGGCTTTTGACACGTTCCTCAGCTGTCAGAATCCTTACAGCCCGTGACTGTCTCAGCCGTGGCCACTCCCGGAGCAATGCAATGAGAAATCTGGCAAGGCTTGACAGGCTCATGAAGCTCAACGGGAGCAGGGGAGATCATTAGCTAATTAGTGCAATGGGGCTGCCGTGAACAGGTGAAAAACAAATGAGTTAGCAGGCAAAAAAGATTTATTTTTTTTTTATTTTGGTCCTCCTAGACCTAAAACTTGGAGCAATATCAATGGCTCCAAAGGCTCAGGGCTCCCCAGCTCCGTGTATTTGTCTGCCAACTGCTTCGGTGTTCATTTCTGGTTGAGAAGTTTCAGCCCCTTTGTGAAGCTGTTTATTTTTTGGCAGGGGAAGGCTGATGTTCTTGCATGTCACGTTGGTTACATCACGATTCGGGGCTGGCCATCGGGTGTCCCTTCTCAGGGACCAAGCACACGGCTTGGGCTTTACCCCAGGGGCATTCAGAAGCACCCTTGGTACAAAAAGTGCAGGTGTTGGCAGGGTCAAAGCCAGCAGCATCACCCAGTTGGGCATTAAATCCACAAATAGGTGCAGGGAAGGGAAGAGCTCTGCAAGCAGGGCGAACGGCAAGCAGAAGGTGGCCGAGCTGCAACCCCTCGATCTCATTCCTGGAATGGATACCTTGGAAACTGGAGGAACCAAGCTTCTTTATTTATTTTTTCTCATTTTTAAGCAATCAAAGCCACTTCATTGGTGATCAGCGATCGCTTTTCCCTTCAGCTTTTCCCTTCATCTTCGTTTCCCCATTAGCTACTAAGTGTCCTGGTGTCGAACTGGATTCCCGGAGGTTCCACGACCTTTTTTTTTCAACTTCTCAGAGAAAAAAAAAAAAAAAAAGCATCGAACGCATCCTCATCCTGATCTTTGTTGGCTGGAGAACACGACACAGCCCCCACGTCACGAGGTGGCACAAGCCCACGGGCTCCGCCGTATGCTGTAGACGTCCTCGGAGGAGCGAGGAAGCAAGGCCGGCAGAAGGAACGATGCTGTTTTTATTATTGTAAAATAGACCTGGCGATTCCTACATTTGCGAGTTGCCACCACGTTGGGGACGGGGCGGTTTGGGGCGGGGAGGGGCGGGGAGGGAGGGTGGACCTTTTTATAAGTAATATTTAATTTATTATTTCGAATGTTTTCTTTGGGATAATTTATGGGACGAGGGATACCTGGCTGGAAAACCTAAAGCAGGCTGTTAAAGCTGCAGTGTGCCCACGGCCCCGCGTGCCGGGCTCTGGCACCGCGTCGCTCACCCCGAGCTGGAGCCATCGGGAGGGTTGAGCATCGTCACCGTGGCTGTCATGCACACCTGAACTCCTAAGTTAATTAGCTGGGAAGCCCAGCCTGCTAATTAAATGCTCTGACACTGGTGAAACTCGCCGTTTAAAGGGCTTCGCAAGGTAATTCAAAACTTCTTAGCAAACTAGTGATTTGTTTCTCTGATAGAAATGGGTAATACTACAGCTTTAACTAGCCTTAGTTTAAAAAAAAAAAAAGAGAAGAAAAACTCTTGTTGTTACAAAAGGCCTAAAGATGGCATTTTGAGCCTATAAACAGTTTCTTTAAATTGTCAGACTCTAGCATTGTTAACCAAATTAGAATAGTGACTGCAATATTTAAGTGTAAATCTTGTTCTATGAGAAAGGGAACTTGCTTACGGTTTAAAAAAAAAGACTGTTTCTACACACAATCTTGTATACTACTACATGAAGAAAAAGGGGGTTTTGTAATGCACTGTAGAACAGTCTCATAATTCATTTTTTATAGAAATGTTATTCCAATGGTGCATTTTTTTGTTTAATAAATAAAGTTTTGATACAATTTCCCTCTCTTGGTCTGGTCCATTGCCTAGCAAGCCCCAGGCATCGGTGCCCACACCGCAGGGCAATGCCACAGCCCCCTGCCTCTGCTGCATCCTTCCCTGCTTTATTGCTGCCTCCTGAGCCATGTGTAAATGCAGTTTGGAGCTTGGGGACAATTTCCACGTCCCCGAGCTGCCTGTGATGGGCTTCCAAGACGCCTTTCCAGCTGGGTCATTTCGCAAGCTATCTTCCAGCCGTAATGAGCAGCTGGGTTTGGGATTTGTTTCTGCACCCCCACCGCCCATCGCACCCAGTTCCTGCTGCTGTTTCCCAGCTGGTTGCTCCACGCCAGAAGCGCCAGCACCAGCTATCCCCCGGTGCCCTGCCCCTCACAGGCATCGTGGCTTAGGATTAAAGTAATCGCAGGACACAACCAGCCTTTAAAGCTATCCGAAATGCTGCTAGGTGACACCAAAAGGGACATGAGCAACCTCAAAACACATCATTGTCAAGCTCTAAGTGCTCAACAAGAGGATTTTCACGGCTATCCCTGCTCTGCTTCAAATCCCCCGTGGGCATCTGGTTGTTCGATGGCATTTAGAAACCTCCCAGCCTGGGCAGCAAGAGGCAGGGAGAGCTTCTCACAAGCGTTTTGGTTTGGGTTTTATGGATGTGTCATTAGAGGGGCTCCTACTGACAAGTTAGAGCTTTATTATGTAAGGTTTGCTGACAAAGAGGCACCTAGAGAAGGAATTTAATCGCTTCCTGAGCAAGAAGTTAAACCTCGGTGGAAACCCACCACAGTAAACAGGTTTTTGTGTGGCAGGGGCATCAGTCTGCTGCTGCCAGCACAACGAGTTCCCCTGAATGAAAACTGGAAATGGGAAATTGGGTTTTTGTAAGGCAAATCAGACCGGCCCCAGCCAGAAGAGGCGCTGACCCAAAATGCTTCCCTGAGGCAACGCCGCGAGCAGGCCTCAGTGAGGCCTAGCAGGGAAAGGACATTTTTATGTACTTCGTGCCAACAGCCCTCATTTGGACACTAATAGGTGTCTTCCCCTTTGATTAGGGGAAGCAGGGACAAGTCCTTGTTCTGAGGAAACTTTTTTATTTGCCTTGAACCCGATGCCCACCACTCGCTGCAGGCCCTGCGTGCGTCAGGAGCACTGCTTGTGTTCATGGCAAACTCCCTGGTGCACCCGTGTTTCTTCCTTCACACAAAGCTTTTCTTTCTAATTCTTTTCTTTCTTTTCTAATTTGCAGAATTAATGGTAATGTTGTGATATTTTGTGTCTGAGTGCCATCATTCTCAACTTTCAGGGCTGCATAACTAAACGTGACTCCGGGAAAGAAATTTCTCTTCTTCCACTGCTCTTTGCACTTTCAAGGCCTTGTCCAAAGAAAACAGCACGTTTTATGGGGACACGGATTTTATGTTTATTTCTAAAAACTAATACTACTTTATGAACACTGAAGCCCTTTTTATGTTCTTGGCACAAGTATTTTTAATATAAAACTACATTTTTTTCTCAACTACAAGCAGTGGCAGGTAACAAAGCATCACATCAACGAGTGGAGAGATTTTTGTGTCTGAAGACTAAGACATACAGAGAAATAAGAAATTATCCCATTTTCTTATTATAAAATGGAGTTAGCTAGCGGTATTAATCCTGCTTTTGAAGCAGGTCAAAACCTGACAGTCTTTTACATCTGCAAAGGACAGAGTGACAGAGGGTGGGATCTGATCCAGGCTTGTTGGCCGAATTGAAAGCTAAGAAAACTGCTCAAAGGCCCCAGATGTAAATTTTGGGGACTTTTCTCCTTAAGGCACTTCCTAAATGTTCAGTTCTGCTTTGTAGGAAGGGAAAATGCCCCTCAAACACCTCACAAAAGAGCCAAAGTTGACCCCTCAGTGGTCCTTGCCTCCTCCTCCCAGGCGAGCACGAGCTCCTGGGGCTCCCACTTGCTGCACCCCAATTTGAGCAAGGTGGGTCCTTGTCCCATGTGAGGATCCGGGAGGAAAATCTGAGGGATTATTTTTGTACCGGAGTCCTTGAAAAACTCTATTTGGGGTTGTCAGTGGGGATTAATGGGAGACCTTCATAGTATACCATGTTTAAGCACAGAGAAATATGGCTGTAGGGTAAACCAACACGTGATGAATTGCGTGCATTGAGGCTTAAGTTTGAATTTAAAATGGTGGCATTCGAATAAATTTATCACGGTTCGGTATTTTATTAGTCAGGTGGGAATATTTTGCTTCGTGCACAAAAAGATGCCAGCCCCTCTTGGGGCCAATAAATTACATCTATTTGAGCTTTTCATTTAACAAAATAATGTTAGCAGGGGGAATATAAATCAGCGGCAGGTTTAGAAGAAAGTGTTGTTAAATGTTTCACTTTAAGTCAAACTGACTGCCGTATCAATGGTGGTTTTGGCCTGAAAACTGGTGTCTTTAGGGTTTTTCAGGAGTAATTTCCACATAGGGTGTGTGCTCCAGGGCTGTGTGGTCTTACCTGGGGCAGGCAGAGCTTTTTGGCCATGCCAGGCTCCTTTCTGCTGAAGCCCTGAGCCACAGCTTGGTTTACAAAGCCCAGCATAAAAACAGTCTTTTATTTTCCTTTCAAACACCAGAAACTGTTGATTTGAGGACATCCCGGTATTTCACTGCAACATAATGCATTTTATGGAATATGGTCAGGAAATTATCACAATGTTTTATTGCAGTCTTGCTTCAGTGTGGTGAAGTATTTGCCTGGGCTATAAATATTTTGACTTTTTTTGTGTATCCTGCTTTAAAGCTACATATGTTCCAGCTGATATTACAATGCAAAAGCCCAGGCATAAAACTCAGAAGGAAATGTTCCGACTTTGCTGAAACATAATGTGAGTAAATCAAATACCTTCACAATATTTCCTTTTTGAGAAAGCTATGAATTTTTCATTTTTCACCCCAGCTTGGGAAGAAACCAGGTTTTTTGGCTCCGTTGTGGAATTGCAATGCAGCCTGCCAGCAGCCTGAAATCAATATGCTCCGCTACGCCTGCCTGCGCTGCTGCCCCAGGCAGATGCTCCCTATTTAGCAACCGAGCTGAAATAAAGCAAACAGCCCCCGTTTTGTTGGGTTTTACTGCTTCACCTAACACTTCTGCTGATGCCTGGGCTTCGTCCTGAGCTGACCAGCCATCCCTTGGGGTGGAGGTGGTGGGCAGGGCTCAGCGGTGCTCTCCTCAGCATCCAGTTTGGGCTTCCAGTGTGCCCCCAGAAGCCCAGGTAAATGGCTGGAGATGATACAGGACCCCTGATATCCCACACCCACACCTGCTGGGACAGAGTGATCAAAACTATGATTTCTTCATGGTCCCATGGGGAAAAAAAAAAAATAATAATTAAAAAAATATATATATACTATTCAGCTAGTAAATAGAAGCTAATAAAAGTTAAAGAAAATGAAAAAATGACTTAGGATTTTGCCTTACTTTTTCTCTCAGGTCTCCCATTTCTTTTTCTGTATTTTTCCTTTTTTTTTCCCACTATTTTTTATAAATCTGGAGAGCGCAAGCGAACCCCCAGCTCCTTGACCTGTGTGCCGAAGCAAGGCCCCGTGTGTTTGCCTGCGCGAGGAAGGATGTTGCCCTACTGCTTTCCTGCCTTACAGGACTTCGTTAGCGCTGAAAAACCTGGGAACAAGGCAACGGAGACGTCATTAAGCACTGCAGGAAGAAACCACGGCCTGACTTCAACAATCACGGCACCAGTGGGGAGGACCTGGGCGACCCCCCAGGCCAACCCACCCACAGCACAGCAGCTTGGAGGCAGCTTTTATCTCCCTAAAACACAAGGTGTTCTCCTTCACGGAGGCACTCTCCAGTCTTACAAGATATCTAGGGGGAAAAAGTGTACCCGAAAGGACTACATTTCCACGCCTTTTAATTCAAACCAATTCTGTCTTGGTGCAGCACAACAAAACAAAAGAGGCCCTGCACCTTCATTTATTTTCCTTGCAGGTCATTTCTCAAACGAGAGGCCTAGAGAACGGTGAAGTCGTCATCTGTTTCTCCGAATGCTCTGCTCCTGAATAGTTTAAAACATGCCAGCACCACATCAGCAACCAGCAGCACAGCGGGGATCGATCACCCTCGTGCCCTGCAGCAGCACCGAGGGATGCTCGAGGTGCTCCATCTTCGTCCGCGGGCTGACGTTGACTTTATGGAGACCCCTTTTTTTTTTTCGTCTCCTTTTGAAGCCTCGCTGCTGGGCATGGGGATGACTTTACCACTGATTTGTGTGGCACTGGTGTGCCAAAAGCGATTTTCATCAGATCGATGGTGCTGGGGGTGATCGCTGGGCAAGGACGGAGGGCTGAGGTTCAACCTCAGATGTCCCTCAGCAGAGGCAAGGTCTCGAGTAGGGCTGTGCGTTATGGTAATGCCCGAAATCCCATTAGCAGATATATTTGTGGAGGTGAGGGGGTAATAAAAGGAATGCAGAGTAGCTGCAGAACTGTCTCAGGTTGATATTAGGCCGAAATTAAAGAAAAATAATAAGCAATTGGAAAGAGCCGGGCTGTTATTTATTGCCCCTGCAGAGTTAAGCCAGGTAATGTCATCGCACTTATCTTAATGCCGCAATAGAGGACGTTTTTATGTTGGAAAAAGCAGGAAATAAATATTCCAATGCTGAAATCAAGTAATTTGCGAAATGGCCTTACAAGAGGTGTCATCCACACTCCGACTGCGAGCAGCACCACTCAGGCTTGGCAGGGGGCTCCTCGGGAGGAAGGGATGAGGAGAGCTGAGAGAAAAATGAGCAAAAGACTAATTTCATGGATTAAAATAATCAGAACAGGCAGCAGAGGCTTTGTCCTTTTTGACTGTCAGAGAAGATTTTGGGGGGAGGTGGCTTGAACCCCCGTCCCAAAGAGCAGTGAGCCCCACAAACCGTGATGCCAGTTAAAAAACTTGTTTTATCCACGGGGTTTCATGCAAAATGCATAAATGCTTCTCGGCTTGGCAAGCA